TTTGGTCTTCATCGATGAATATAGTTTTTCGCCCATACAAGCGTTTTTTCGCGGCAGATAAAAATTTGCTCTAGTCCGCGTGAAAATCGGCATATGGGGTCTCTGTGGGTGTCTCATTATATTTTTCGGTCCAAATTATATTTTTCGCCATTTTTGCGGCTGAAATCATTTATATGAAAATGATTTAGGGTAAAAACTTCGTTTCCGCCGTTTTTCGATATTGCCGTTTCTGGTCTCAAACTAGGGAATTTACTATATTATGAGTAGCAGAATAACGATAACTCATGAAAGCAATACCCAGTCCAACGTAAGTTAAAAATATTCATTTCCTAAATTGCTCGAGACAGGATGGGAAAACGATGCCTTACTTTCTCAAACTCGTATCTTTTAGAGCAGCCTTTCCCAAAGTGGGCGATAACGCCCCCTTGTGGGCGCTGCAGGCCTAAAGGGCTGTAAGAGACCCAGAAAAAAAAATGGGGACGTTGTGTTGGACGTTGGTGACGTTGCTTAGGGGGAGATTTGTAATTTAATCTAGGAAGACTCGACACCGACTGAGCTCTCGACTCTCAACTACAACTTGTGAAACTAATGAGATTGCGCAAACTAACTCGGTTCGATATTTTGTCTCCGTGTAGTTCATATATATCTGTCCTGTTTTATTGAATAAATAAAATAAAAATCATGTCAAACGGCAGCTCCGTTTCGAAATGAAAGTAGACACAAACAAACAAATAAAAAGGCAACAGACACAGTTTCGCATTTTAATAGTTATTAGTATTCCTAGATAGGTAATTTTCGTAGATAATAGACCGCGGGCAATCATGTTTTAACAAGTTTTTGTTAAATAACCCGATTTATGCATTCCTGTATCAATCAGCTGGTTCATAGATTACTTGTTCTTACTCGTTGAGTACGATTGAGCGTCGAATGAGAAAACGAGTTTATGCATGCTTGTCTTATTCCTGTCAGTACGTGCTGCTTATGCAATTATATAAACAACGTAATTTTATTTTCATTTGCGGTTTCGCGTGTAATAGATAAGCAGTACTTAGTTCAACACTTACTTACGTATTTCTCAAAACAAAACAATGTCGGCACTAAAACAGAAGAGACAGCAATACTGTGCGGAATATATTTAATCGGTTTCATTGAAAATCCCACAAACCCATCGTTGCCTTTGTGCCTTCTATGTCACAAAGATTACTAATAATAATAAAAACATTTTCGAATGAAGCAATGAAGCCTTCAAGACTGCAAGATCATTTGAATAAAATGCATCCAGATAAGAAAGACAAGAATGTAGTATATTTTCAAGATCTAGAGAAGTAGCATAATACTCAGCCAAGTGTAGCAAAACTCTTTTCGGCGGCTGCTAAGCAAGATGACGACCGACTTCGAGCTTCTTACAATATCTCTTTGTTAATTGCTCAAAAAGGCTAACCACACAACATCGGAGAAGATTTAATTTTGCCAGCAATAAAGGAAGTAATTACTACTGTGCTTCATAAACCGGCCGCAGATATTATCCGAAAAATTCCTTTGCGTAATAATTCTGTGCAAAGACGAATTGATGAAATGGTTGAAAACATTGAAGAATCATTGTGCAATCATCTGAGGACTAGTCTATTCTCAATTCAGCTTGATGAGTCCACTTTACCAACTAATGAAGCATTGTTGCTGTCTTACGTGAGGTTTATTAAAGATGAGAAAATATGTGAAGAACTATTGTTTGATAGAAATTTAGAGACCGACACAAAAGGCGAAACCATATTCAATACATTGGAAAAGTTTTGTGATGAGAAAGAGATTCCCTTGAAAAATATTATACCAGTTGCTACGGATGGCACTCCGGCTATGACAGAGTGCCATAAAGGCTTCATAGCGTACTTAAAAAATAAAATTGGTGTCCATGCTGCACATTGCGTTATTCATAGACATTTGGTTGCTAGAAATTTAAGTGAACGACTATTTCAATCACTGCAATATGTCATCAAAGCAATCAATAAAATCCGTAGCAGCGTAAGTCAATGGTAGCAGCTCTTTGAATGATAGATTATTTCATTAGCTTTGTGTTACTAATGACGAAGATTTCAACCGTTTGTTGTTTCCATGTTGGTTCATCTTCTGCTTCTACACAAAAAGAATATGGACAGACGTGAGTTTCACAATTTTCCAAATTTATCAGCATCCTGCAGTAACGACGAGTTGTTTGCCTACTGCCAACATTTGGAAAACCTCCACATTGACTTCACCGAACGATGCCAGGACATTTTGAACTAATAACAGACTGGGTGTTGGATCCGTTTTCAAATGTTAACATAGCAATATCAACTCAGCTGAAAGGAGAACTTATAGAATTGACAACGAACGAGGAAATAAAAATCAAGTTCAAAAATGGCTCCCAAGAATTTTGGCTAAAAAATTGATCCCGCAATCGTACCCTGGATTGTGGTCAATCGTTCAACGATTCTTGATAGCATTCCCATCGTCATATTTGTGTGAACGTGGTTTTAGTGCTGTGACAACGCTGCTTACTGAAAAGAGAAATCGTTTTATGTTACCGAAAGTGGTGAATGCGACTGTTCTTGAGTATTTGGAACCTGATATCAACAAACTTATTAAACAGCATCAGATTCATCCTTCACATTAGTTTTTATATAAGAATCGATTATGTTTCTTTTATTTTGAATAAAAGATACTCAGTCAGAATACTATAAAGTTGCATTTCAATAATCATTCTCATGCAGGCAGGCAGGTGTAGCCCGTAAGGAGTTAACTTGAGACCTGAGCGCCGTTATGTACTACCTACTGCGGTCAGGTCTCAAGTTAACTCTTGCGGGTTATAGTAAGTCTCTTTAAAATGAATGTATCTCCGCTAATATAGCTCACAATAATTAATTTAATTTGAAGTTATGGTGGTTTTTAAGTAGTGGAAAAATGGGGGAGCGATAAAAATAATTTATTCTCAAAGTGAGCAGTAGACAAAATAAGTTTGGGAACCCCTGTTTTAGAGCGTGATTATTCAGAAGATGGTAAAACTTCTTATTTATTTTAAATTTCTTATCAAGGGTATTAATTTGGATGCACTACTTTAAGAATAGGCAAAAGCCAGTGTGTAAATATGAATGTGAAAGTGAAATCAGGCTGCAAAATTTGTATAGACAATCCATTTTTTGCATTTCAGTAACTTTCGTGTTTTAAGATTTAAGACGAGTTTGAGAAAGTGAAAAGGAGGAAGAACTGTGGGGTTGCATATCACTTTTTTGTATAATAATTATGATCAATTTGTATAATAACTACCTCCTACATATTAATAGCTACAAAAAGCATATAAAATTTACACAGACGCTAAATAATATAATATTTCATATGGTAAATTTGACGTTTCTTCTATTTAATGAACGTACCATTCGTTACTGCCGGCTGGTCGAGCTCCTGGTGTGGTGCATCCCGCAGTATAAACATACCCCGTATCAAAGCCCTACCACGCACCGCAGGCCAAGACCTACACTTCGGTGGGGTACATGGCTCATTTCAAAATATATTTATATACAAACATTGACGGCTTATCTATTATCATGGCAAAAATTACAAAGTCAAAAAGTAAATGATTGCGGTACAAGAAAGTAGCTTGAGGAAGAAAAGTCACGTGTAAAAATAGTATGGTTTTGCATGGAACTAATGAGAATAAATACATTTTAAGAATACAGTGGTTCCACGTGAAACAGAGTACATGGAACTACTGGGAATAAATGCAAATTTCATGTGATGCTGTAAGTGACTCCATTTAAACCCATACTATCTATACTGTCGTTGTGTGTGTCGTAGTATTTTGTGCCGTGGTCACACCCCGGACACTCCATACAACGGTCGAAAATTATTTACCTACTACTACACACAGCAAGGCGCTATCTGCACACGCGCAAATGTGTGCGTGCAGTGGCAGGGTTACCCATCACTTTCTTGCTCTATTACGTTACGTGATCAAAGCGGCAACATAGCGAAAATGCTAACGCGAATCTAATATCTATGATTCTATTAATAGAATCCACAATCCAAATAATTACACATGTCTATTATGTATTTATATCGATATCATATCATATTTTTCATTAATTCATCAACTAGAGTAACATTGAAGATTTATTTAAAAAATATATTAAAAGCCCTTAAAATGTTATATTTTGGACATGTAGTTTTAAATAAGGTAACCAAGGTATTTGAAATTGCGTGTCCAAGTTAATCATCATTATTTAGTTAATAATTAGGTATATTCACTACTTACGTAATATTTATCGGCAATACAAATTGAAAATTCGAGAACTCTCTTTACTTTTTGTTCTCTGCCGTGGTAGCAAGCATCACCAAATTGTAGATTTCAGTTTAAGTACATGTGTACCAGATTTATTATATTACGTACAGTAGGTACCAAATGCTTTAAAAGCAAACCTAAAATATTTTGTCTCACTACTCATTAACTTCAACGTAGTGTAATACCTACTAAAATATTACACACGATGCAATGATTAATGAGTGAGTTTGGGTGTAATTTGTGGTTGTCTATGTGTGTGTCCATGGCACCCGTGATACAGGGTTTCCTAGTGCGGGGCTATGTTGAGTGTGTGCGTTATTATTATTATGGAAGACATGCCTAATATGTACATTTTGTCTTATTCCAGGAAATAAAATTTTGTGGTCGGGTCTACATTATGTAGTATAACAATTTTGCGCTAAATTCGCATTAATTTTTTACTTATGGGTATCGGACGTCACACATGGGAATTGTTTTGTTTTGTTGTTTTTTCATTAATTATCCATGTCACCACTCTTGCTGTAGACATCATGTATAATGAATTGCAAACATTAACCTACCAATAAATAGGTGAATGATTGCAAAATATTATGTAATAAACACGATTACTCATTATTTACAGAAAAGTCATTTCCACGGATTATTGTGTGAAAAACAAAAATAAAACTATTATTTTATTCAATTTGTTTGTTATTACTTAAATATATGGTTTCCAAATCGAAACAATGAAGAAAAATGAAGCACTAATTTCATTTCTAAAAATATGACAATAAGAGTAATCTAAAGATCTACGGTGAATTGGAAATGTCCATGTTGTCGGGCGAATTCTTTTCGTCGCCTAAATCTTGATGTTTATTTTCTATGATAGAATTGTTTTTCTCTTCGTGAACAGGCGGGAGAGTTGGAGTGTTCCCGCGTGACCGCTTTTCGTGGGATGTTTTACTACTATCCTTGGTAGAATGAGAGCGGCTCTTCGATCTCCGGCTGCTCGAACGTGAACGCTTGCGGTCACGGGAACGAGATCGCTTTTTATCCCTCGATCGAGATCTCTTCTTATCTCTAGATCTAGACCTCTTACGATCACGAGAGCGCGACCTTTTTTTATCCCGGGAACGAGATCGTTTTTTATCCCTGGACCGTGACCTTTTTCTATCCCTTGAGCGGGACCGTCTACGCGAGCGAGAACGCTTCCTACGCGAACGTGACCTTGATCTACGCCTAGACCGCGACCGGTCACGTTTTTTGTCACGTGAGCGAGACCTATCACGTTTTTTAGAAGGCGACCTTTCCTTTTCTTTATCGCTTTCTTTCTCTTTGTCGTCAGCTGGAGTCGAGGCTTTCGATTTCGATTCAACCACGGGACCATTGCCATTAGTTTCAACTTCTGGCTTACTTTCTTGGGGGGGTTCAACCTCTTTTTCAGGTGTTTTGGATTTGTCCTTTTTTTCTTTGTCGTTGGAGTCTTTTTTATCCTTGTCCTTATCTTTTTCTTTGTCTTTATCCTTGTCCTTGTCTTTGCGATCGCGTGAGCGGTCTCGCGAGCGATCACGGTCGCGTTTGGAACGCGAGCTGCGGTGACGCGAGCGAGAACGGGATCTACGTGAGCTCCGATGGCGAGAACGAGACCTGCAAATTAGAATTTTAAATTTTAACCATTCACTTGTGAAACTTCAACTATATATGAGAATTCATGGCCTAGAGGTCACTTTCTTGTATACCAACAAAAAAGACAAATCTTGAAGGGTAGTATTAGGATGCTGCCCTAAGGCAATTTCTCTTGATTTTGTAAAAGCTTATGCCTAGTGTTATATGACCGTTACAGCCTTGTTGTTATGTTGATGGACGGCATAGCGTATTAAACCTGGTACATCAAATATGTAAGGTAGTTAAAAATATAACTATTTTAGAAGTATAATTACATTGATATTCTTTGAATTGTTGAGCACCACTTTTTACACAAACATTATATATCGGACTATAGTCATATCCTGCATAATTAAGAGTGATCTGACCCCTACGTTAATCCTACGAGTTATTTGAAAAAAGATAGACGAATTACGCGTACGAGGGCAACATAATTAACTCCGGAACATTACTCAAAAACGCACAGACCAGAACTAATTTAGAAAATTTGAGTTCCCAAATTGGTCTTACAGAGAATCGAACTCGGGACCTCCTTATCTAACGCCCGCAGCGCTAACTACAGAGGCCCAAAGGTAGGCAAAATCGTTATCGGTTTCAGTTTTTTTTTGTCAATATCAAATTTTCTTTTAACTCTACTTGCGTCTAGCCTATACGTCATGTGCACATAAAAGTAAGAAATAATCAGAATAATGAAAAATAAAAAATTTAGTGTTTTTAAGGAACTGAAAGATTTATTGGCAAATCTTATTATAATCATTAAAGAATTTCTGAGCAAAATTTTCGAACATAAAAGTACAGTTGAAAACAACTTGTTTACCTTCCCTTCTACTTTGCTGTGCCCAAAAGGGTGTGGTCATAATATGAGCACCGTGTAAATCATTGTGGAAAGTAAATAAAGAATATTTCTGCTACCGCCGTTGAATGGCGCATGTGACTTTTTTTAAAATTTGTTATGCGTACTGCCGTGATCAGAAAAGAATGTCTGTCACTATTTTTATTTTTTCCTAGATGGATAAGGTTACAGCAAGATAAAGTAAATATTTTTTAAATTTAATTTCTTCAATCATTATTTTCTGTTTTGAGTTTTTGTCACAAGCGCCCTTTTAACCTAGGGCGGCAGAATTAATATTGAATGATATTTGGAATAAAGTAAAAGATAAATATTAACAAATGTCTATTTACCAACCCCTAGAGATTCTTATTCACTGTTCTCCGGGAAATCGTCTTACGAACCATTTAACTAACAATTTTAAGTGTAATTTGCACATACTTGAATTTGGTGTTGGGAAACCAAGATATTCACAGATCTAATTAACTATAAGCTCCCATCCTCCAATTTTTATCTTCTAATTTTTTATATTCAGAAGAAAATAATATTGTTTTGATTGTGATTACCAAGGTAATGAAGAAAACATTATCTTTAATCAACACACAAGAATCTAAAAAATATTTTTAGTAACAATATAAGAACACATGAAACACATATGCAATTTACCAAGAACAATAGTAAGACACCTATAGCAATACAAGAACAAATGAAACACAATTGCAATACACCTACAACGATAGTAAGACACCCATAAACAATATAAAAACAGATGCAACACATCTGTAGTTTACCTAGAACGATGGCGATGGCGTGAGCGGGAGCGTCGCGAACGGTGGCGGGAGCGCGAGCGGGAGCGTTTGCGGTGACGAGACCGCGAGCGACGCGATCGAGATCGCGAACGGCGGCGAGACCTCGAGCGGGAACGCGTCCTGGAAATATTCAAATTTCATCAGTCAAATCTATTTATTTAATCTGAAGTAGATAGTTACACTATACATGTATAGTAGTCATTGCAAGATAGCAGGGAATTGGACTACATGTCGTGGTGAATGCTCACTGATCCCACGGCGCCGACTCAACCGGCGAGAGGGAAACCCGGGGGGTTTTTGTGGGGTAGGCCCTCCAGTCTGGAGAGAGAGTCCCCACATAACCCCTGAGTCTCCCTGGGCTCAGGGGTATCCATAAAGATTTCCCCCCCGTCAAAAAAAAAAAAGGGAATTGGCCTACAAAGTATTTAAAATTAACCATAATGGATATAGACATATTGCAGACATACAGATATTTTGTTCTTCTAATGGTAGTGCTGATGGTCTAACTCTTTTCATCATTAATGCGTTTATAGTACTTGTTTATTACTTTTTTAAATTATTAATGACGTTATGAAAGCGGACTACGCACAATTATTTTCACCATTGTGAATATTTTGGGTAGTTTCGAATATTTAATATCAAAAGACAACTAAACGGTTATTAAATAACTGATTATAATTCGTTCACATTCCTTAATACCTGCAAACGATATTTACATTTGTAATAGTGAATTCAACTAGTAATTAATATAATAATTGTTATAAAACATAGCTTGCAAAGATAATGCAGAAACCATTGTTGGCGTAGTCTAAGCGCCTGCAAAACTATTATTAACAATTACATGGAGAAGATAAACCGTCTTTTTTAGATGATAATTTTTGCAAAGGTGTTTTATTTTTTATTTATTTATTTTTTTAAATAACTTTTTATAGAAGCTTTCTAAAATAGTGAAAAAAAGGTATGTTTAGGTAGAGATTAGATAGTAAACAGTTACATAAAAAACGTAAATTATATACTGCTAGAACCATGAAAAACGTAAAGTGGTCCAGCCAACCTGGCGGCAGAATGGCAGGCCACTTTATTTCTTTAATATTTCCATTAACTCAAAGGTAGAAAATATGTCAATAAAGGTACTAAATAGTAGACAATAGGTAGTAAGTAATGAGCACAGTATGATTTGTATAATCTCGTTTAGTCCAGCCATCCTGACAGACATGACAATGTGCACTTACAACTTACGAGAATTTCTCATATTCACTTACAAAGTAGTTTTAAGATTTTTTCTGATTATTATCTGATTGCCTATTGTGGCTAAGTCAGAATAATCAATACAGCTCTGTAACATCCACAATAAGATATAGGAATAACAGTGTGGGGTGAGGTGTTAAATTTGTTATAAATAGATATGATTGAATACTAATGATTTAAAGGAAATAATCACCTCCTCTTATCTTTGGAAAGCAATCCTATAACAGGGTCAATAGCAGCAGAGATGAGATTTTGTGCCTCCTTCACACGACACATGGCTTCTTCAATTTCTCGCTGTGCTGCTTCATTGCTTTTCGTCTGCGGCTTGCTGATTGCTTGTGTCGCATGATGCACCTGACGATGTTAGTCAATAATGTTACCAGTTTACAAATAACGTATCTTTTAACTTACTATAGTTATCACAATGTAACAGCACTGTTTTGACAGGTAAGAAATATGACAAATTGTAGCTTTATAGCAGCAAAAAAATTTTTACTCGATGATATAATACATGTCAACAGTATGTGCCTATTTGAACACAGGGCAGAAACAACAGTTAAGTAAGGTAAGCATAAATATAACAGTAGCTTATGTAATGTACAAATGAAAACTGGTGAAATGATGTTGTTTTCCTATTTAACCTTTGTGAATTTAGATTAGCATTATTTACATTAACACACTTGTACTTTTAAGTACAGTTGTGTTTGTAGCTTTAATATTCAATGTCTTCCCTATAACAAGAATTATCAACAAAATAGATTGCACGTTGAGAAGGAAAGTGACCCAATACCATGAATTTCGGAATACGCAAAATAAAATTTGCAGTTGTGATATTTTTATATATTTTCTCATTTAACCATTAAGTACTAAAAATAATGGCCTCATTAGTCCCGGAAAATAACGATAAAACATTCAGCTATATTACCTGAAAAAAATGTTGTCTGATTATTTTTATATTTAAAAATATACTAAAAAGTATAATTCTTTACTGAACTTTTTGTTGTCATTTAATATAACAAGAATTAAGTCTTTTCATTTTTACTAGCTAAGTAACATGTTTAACCTTACCAAGATTAAGCAGTTATAATTACAAAAGTATGGCCTCATAAGTAATAAGTAATTTGCTTTTGTAAAAATTTGATTGTGTTAATCAGAACAAAAATGGCTCATTTGCTAATCTGCTCTTTCTCATTCACTACTTATTATTATTATTACTTTGCAGATTCAGATTCAATATAATTATTATTATTAAGGTGGCTTCATTCAAGGCCTGCAGCATTTCATCACTGCGACCATACATTCATCTATTGTGATCACCACTAATCACAATTTGGACCCAAGACCAACAGCAAAAGAGCTTAAGCTTTCCTGGCTTCTACTGTTTTGATGTCCTGTGGTTGTGACCTGTGCCTACCCAGTATTTATTAGCTTCATACACCCAATGCGGGGCAGCATTGGGTAGACATGGCAAACTACACTTTCTGTAATTTCAGCACTAAATATGGTGTTGCAATACCGACGCATGAGTGGAATTTCTAACATATGCAAGAGACTTATATAGTGAGTCTATGCCATTTGAGCTTTAGTGGCTCAGTTCCAGACTAACACTCCTGATGAAAAATGATTTTAAAATTATTTTATGGATAAATAAATTTTCATTCCAAAGGTGCAAAATGTACAAGCATGAATAATATGACAATGAAAGCCAATAAACATGTTTTTGTACCTTGATAGTCTGTCCTTCCAAAACAGAACCATTCAATTGAATCGCCTTAAGTACCCCCTCCTGCTCAGACATCTCAATCAGTGCATACTTCAACTTATCTGCATCTCGCTCACAAAAGCGCAGGTACTTCACTTCACTAGCCTGACTGAAATGGTCTATCAGCTGTTGGTATGTCAGAGAACCAATGTCAGCCACCAACACCGTTCGTCTTATCTCCTCAATCTTCCTAGAGTCATATGCAGCAGGCAAGGGAGGATACGGCGGCAAACCAGCCGCTGCCATTCTAGGATCATGAGTCTGAATCACCTGACTACCAGGCATTCCTTCCAGCGTGTTAACAACGTGCGCCGGCAACCGAGGCTCCACAGAACTTAACCCAGGTACGAGAGTTCCATTGCTAGACATCTCGAGAGCTTTGTGCTCGTCAGGTATCTCACCGGACTGCATCGGAATCACAATAAGGGCACGGTCTATGAAGACGGTATTCGTCATATGTTGGGCAACGTTTACTGTCGCCGAATCGTAATATTTCACGTAACATATTCGTGATTGTACTGGACAGGACACATCTCTTATAGTAGGATATAATCTAATGTCGTCTATTTTTCCCAAATAACCAAACAACGTCTGCATTTGGTCTTTAGTTGCTTGCGGCGCGATATTGGTGACTTGTATCACCCGCGTACTTCCAGACACCATTTTGGATGATTTACACATGAAGGCAACTTGTATGTTATATTTATCAACACAAACACTAAAGCGATAGAAAACCGCCTCTAAATGCTACATATTGTTGGGGAAATGTGATTTTATGCGATCAAGACAACTTTGTGAAAAAAAAAACTAATCCACACGCTACGTTAGCAAAACCGAAACGAAAATGTTATTATAATGTTACCATTTTGTATGTACCATTTACCTTAGATTAGAAAAATCTTATAATACCAAGATGAATTTAAAGGTAATTTCCTAAATTTATTTCATTATTTTGGATTCAACAACTGGATTTAAGTCCGTCAAGACGATAGTGTTGGGTCATGGAAAAATTTCTGTTTGAAAAAACCATGTTTTTCAAAAACATAAATATTTTTCCGAATTTCAAATATTTTTCCTTTAATTTTCCATACTTGACGTAAAGTTGAAGTTAATGAACGAAAATGATGGAGCCGTTACAAAGGTTTTTTCGCTGTTGTGAAAACATTTATCTCGTTTTTATAATTGGCTATAATTAAACAAATTTATTGTAATTCATGTTAAATAAAACTTTAAAAGATATTTCTAAACGTAGAACATATTATGAGCTTTCGAATTAAATGAAGGCCTGGCTCATAGGACTTGTATCCAAGCCAAAAAAATTAGCATCAAAATTACATATATTTTTCCAATTTTTCAACAACTTTTTCGGAAAAAAAAATATTTGCCAAATTATTTTTTTTTCTAAATTGTAACTGTATAAAGTATACTATTGCCATTTTATAATTTAAAATAATACTAAAAATTTTATTATTCGTCTCATTGTCGCGAAAAGTTAAGAAAAAAAAATTATAGCGCCAACAATACGCCGTTTTGAAAACTTCTTTCATTGATGTATATTCTTACAAGAAAATGGAATCAAATTTAAAAACAGGTTCGTACACAATCGTTGTTCGTAGGATATAATAGTATTTTTTTATTGTAATTCAACGATATCTACGTAGATTGAAGTCGTCGTTGTATTTGTTTTATTAACCGTAGTTACGTGTTGTTACACCGAATAAACTTTATAGCAACAAATCTGAAGTCAAAAAGAGAGAGACAAGTATTGAAACTGCGAAGTATGGAGCGTTCACTTAGCGAAGAATTACATTCGGTAAAGTCCGACATAGAACATCTTACAGAACAACTTGAGGTTAGAAAGTTTCGGTATAAATGAAAATGTTATTTTTACATCACAAATTTATATAATGGTTTAAATATTATATCGTCTGCTTAAAGGTAAAACCACATAAGTGACATTTTCCACAAAAAATCTCCAAATTATGTACTAGTTGTAAGAAATTCAACATCTTTCTGTAGATAATACTCTTATTAAGTTTACAGTTTTTTTGTTATTGAGTTTCACGTGCAAAAAAATAGTGATTTTCTTATAAATATATAAAATATAAATTTAAGACTTTTTGTGGAAAATGTCACTTATGTGTTACCTTTAAACAGACGATATAAAGGTTTGTAGTCTTGTATCAAACAACTTGTAATAAGTAATTAAGTTACTAGTTGTTTGAAACAAAAACCGCCTACAATTTAAAAAAAATATGCCTAATCACAATAATAATTTACTTAGGTTAAATATGTGACATAGGTACATGAACCCAATTTTACTATGCAGGATTTGAAGGACCAAATTCATGAAACCTGCTTCAAAGTATCAAGAATTGAGACGTATAAAAGCACCGAAAACATAAAAATGGAATCTCGATTGACCTGTTTGGAAAAACACAAACAAGCTTTTGATGAAATATTTGAAAAAGGTTTGTGCGCTTTGTTCCGACTACTGCAAAGTCTAATGGACTCCAAAACTAATTTGTTTATTTTTTTATTCAAAATGTAAGTCGTAACCATGGTCGTAACAAACATAATAAATCTGTGACATAGTTATGTCACAGATTTTTAAGATGGAGGTGACATGATTCGTGAAAAATGTCTACATGTAAATCCCTAGGTCCGAAAAAGACGGTATGAAATGAGTAGGTGGCAACCATACCGAGTAATGCTAGCACAATAATATTATGTGCAAACTTGATACTTTTGTAGATTTGACTGGCCCTCTGTGAGAACAGAGTGAGATTAAGTTATTTTTCTCTTGTTTTATCTCTTTTCAAATAGAACCATTGATTTCTACAATTGTGGTTTCTACAATTGTTTTAGAGCTTTTACTAAATGACTAATATATTTTAAACATTTTACAGAGGGAGCTCACTCAATCCACATACACGTCTTTATTTATATAGTGTATTTAAAATGTCGTTCGCTGCATGAAGGGTCTGTTTCTGCAATAACCGAAAACTATACGGCAGACGGATGTCTTCAGCCATGGCAGCAGCCATCTGTTACATGCTGGTGCCTTGCACTGCACTATGATCATAAGATAATTTCGCGCAGCTCAGGCAGCTTGTTTTTATTATTATTTCTTAATGGCGGTCACAAGCCTTGGGCCAGTTTCGAAGCATGCGGTCAGTTAATGTTGCTCAATAGTTTCGAAAAGAGCATGCAGATATTATTGGTCAAAAACGCCAATGTTAAGGCAGCACCAAGGTATTTATTTTTGAAAGGGTCACAATTTATATCTGATAACCATAACTGCCGACTTTCATTGTGTTGTACTGTAGCGTTTTTTGTTGGCGCCACTATGTCAGACATTGCAGCGTTTCTACGATCAATTTTCGACGAGAGTAACAAGAGTCGACTGTTGCCAAATCTGCGACCATTGACGAAAAACGATAATCTGCGCTGGCGCTTATGTATAGTTCCACCAAATTTATTTTTGTTATTAATACGATTAAATTTCGCAAAATGAGTGATTATGCGCTGGAGGCTTCGCAACTTCAATATGGAAGATCCGTGTCAGTCATGTCATATAGCACGTGTAGCGCAACACCCCGCATCTCCGCAAACACGAAGGAAGACCCATACACGGATACGACGAAACTGATCAATTTTTACTTTAGGGCGAACTTTATTGCAACTTCGAAACAAGGAGTTGAAACAAAAAGAGCTGGAAGAAGAAGAGAAAGAACTACAGAAAAGAAATAAAATTGTAGAACAGAATGAACTACATGCGAAGATGGTTAGCACTGTTGAAGAAGAGATCAAAGCTATTGAAAGGGAATGCACTGTCCTTAAGGTAATTTTTTAATAATAGCTTAGCGTATGGTTTGACCACGTTTTGGGTATGTTATGTATTGTACATACACGGATCTAGTGAACTGATTTGGCCGAAATATAAACTTGACGTATATTTTAAACCCTAAAGATTTATTCTGAGAAACTTTATGATGTACAATTGAGTTTGAAAGGTTTGGAAAGTAGTAAAGTTGGACAGACGTTGCGACCACGATGTTTCTCAGTAAATATAAAACTTTTGGGCCAGTCGCTACAGAAACAAACACACAAAAAGCGTTTTAACCGATTTCGCAGAAACGAAATAATGCTATAATGCTAAAGCTGAGACGAAAGTTGATGGAAACAGAAAACGAGCGTAAAGAATTATTGAAGAAACGTGAAGATTCTTAAAATATGTAACTATTAAGGATCGTTGAATAATAATAAAACGCCTACGGATTTTTAATTTTCACATTTTATTTGATTACACATCTCACATAAGTACTACAATTATACAATTCATATAGGCTGGCCATCATCTGGTTTAAGAAGCCGTTTCAAAAGCAGATATTTCAAAAATTAGCATAAGTTTAGTAATGTTGGACGGAATAATGAAAACAAGACATGACTAGGTATATTGTTTCCAAAGCGTGTACACAACGGCGTTGACTTTTATCAATCAATGATTTCATATAACGTCGTTAGTATGGAGCAGACACGCAGGATATCCACTTACGAGCATTCAAAAACCAGTCGCGCCAGTTGTTTATGACAATCATAGCTATAACTCAATACCTAATTGTGCGATTACATTATACATATAAATATTCAACAAGCATACGAATTGTTCTAGTAAATTATTCAAAGGTAATTGCGATAAATAAAAAAACAATAATTTTTCATAAATAATGAATTAATTATTGTAAACATACTTGCGATTGATTATTACAGTTTTAGTTGTTTAGTTGCAGTAGTAAAGCAACACTACGTTTGATCCAGTGAGCGGACGGCTTGTTAGACGGCAAGTAAAAAGCTAAAACAAAATTGGACGAATGGCCAGTAGTTGCAAGTACACCTTTACGTTCTAATGTTTTATATAAGGGACACTTGTAACGTGTACCTTCATTGAACTCAGGTTTGAGCTTAGGGTACAGCCATATCACTGGCATGTTATCGTTCAAAATTTTAGGATATTGTTCTGTTATTACATGCGTGGAATGATCCCACCGCCCACCATCCATAAATAACCCGTGCACGTATACTCCCCACTCAGGTGATATTGTTTCATAGTCAACTTTTCTTACATCAAAATCGAATATTAGCAAATCTATCGGAATTGTTTTAGCTCTAGCGTAATTCTGGACAGAACCAGTAAGGAACGCTTGAGTGAAAAAGAAACCTGACAGCCAAAACGTAGATGGTTTTCCATTGTCATACCAATCCTGTAACATTTTCAACCGCTCGACAAAATCAGTAACATAACTGGGCAATGGTTTTAGACTTGGATACGACACTTTCCGCCAGTTTTCCGGTATTTTGCCTAGCAACATAAAATTCGCCTGCAGTTCTAAAGCAGGAGACATTACGATAAGCCCTTTCACAGCTTTTTGCAAATCTCTTAGAGAATTAGTTATTTCTCTTGTTAATTTGTTAAAGCGTTCCATTTCTTGGATTAGTACAGTATTCATCGATTCATTGTAATCCACAGGGAACTTTTTCTGTGACGTTTCAATGTCGAAAAGTTTAGGTATTTTGGACAATATTTCTGTAGCCATTTGCACAAGAATGTTCTCTGTGTCACCACCTTCTCCACCGCCACCACTACCTTCCACTAGAACAAGCGAATCGGCCAATGCCATAGAACCGGCATAGTCACGAGTTATCCCCGCATTCATATGCAATCCAAACACTTCTGGAGGCGGATTCACAGGTACTGTTTCTATATGTTTAAGATAATCTTGATACTCACATCTTCGAGGTAGCCCATACTGTTGTCCTAATTCACAAAACAAATAATTTGGATCATTTACGACTCGATCATTCACGTAATTATCCAAGATTGTAACTATTAATCTGCGATCCCAATCATCAGTTACTCGACCGCCATAATTGCATTCTCCCGTCAAGTACTTAATAGCTACATATTGAATTTCTTCGTATTGGTTCAGAAACATTTGTAATTGCATCACAGATATTTGGAAATCAGAGTCGTTGAAACCATATTGAATGTTCCATCCCAGTGGACCGAATTTTTTTCTCTCCTGTACAACAGCATGAAAGAAACTGATTCCATACAACAGTTTACTGAATGTTTTGTCTTTTCCAGGGCATCCCTCGAAAAATTCGGCCTCTTTCAAGGGTTCCGAAATGTAAGATCTATTTAAATTATGTTGAAGCCCTGTTGGAGGTTCATTTGTCATTTTAACACCAACTTGTAAGACAGCTTGCGGAAATTTCTCTGAAGGGTAGCTGGTAAGCCAAAGTCTGAAACTAAGGTCTGTATTTGTAAGATCAAAACTTTCAATAATTTTTTCCATTGTTGGCATCCATGATACTGCTAAATGACAGTTCTGTAAACACACCCATCCACCTTCTAATTGAGCTCTCTCTATCATAGCTCTTGCGATGGGACCTTGACCCTGACCCAATGATATGGAATTAAACCTATTTGCGTATCCCATTCTTTCGCAATATTTAATTAATGCACCCATCGGGTCAGAACCAGGAGATAATATGAATATTAAGGGTGCCAAACAATTTGAATCTCCGAACGATTTTCCTATGTCAAAAGGAGGAGGTGTTATGAATTTTTTACCCAAAGTTTTCTCTACAAAATCTGAGATTGCAATGGTTAATTTGTCTGGCCTTAATACTCTGAGAACTAACAATTTTTGGAAAAGAGTTAAGCAACTGTCCCACTTGCCAGGCAGTGGTTTGTTATGTGGTTCCATGTCATCATAAACTTCTTTAAAATGTTTTGTGTCATTTAAAAAATCATTTTTAATTCCATTGTAGGTTTTTAAATCATTTAGACGGCAAATTTCATCCCATCCTTTATCTGGTAACCAATTAGTTGGATTTTTATGAGGATTTTCAATAGCTATACCACCTGTTATAAGGAATATGTATTCATCATGTTTCATTTCTTCAGAAGCTAACATCATCTTTGAGCACATAATAAAAGAGAACATCAATTTATCTTTATCAAATAATGATCTACAAACATTGCTATATAAGTTGTAAGTAAAAGTTTCTTTGAGAAACTTTAATCTTTTGTCCAAGTCTTTGGATTTGTTAGCATTTTCTATTGATATAATATACAGATTAATGAACCATGTTAGAGAATATTGGTACATTGGATCAACATTTGGCAGTTCTGTCACACAATAGTACAGTATAGCTGAATGTGAGGCAATTGGTTTATAGCCTAGTCTAAACTTTTCTATGATAACTTCAGTTTCTAAGCTGGCTTCTTGCTTTTTCATGATGTCATCTGCTAGTAACTTAGATGAATCCAGTACATCAACAGCAGTTTCATCTTCTAAAATATCACCCTTTGTTTCTTGTAAGGTACGCAAAATATCATCTTCAGTTTGCTTAAGCGCAGCTCTATTTTGTGCACCTTGTACAATCAGTTTTTCGCGTTTTTCTTGTAAATCTGGTCTTTCTTTGGCGACAACTATTCCCAGCAACTGGTCATCTAAACCATCTTTGGTGAGTACAAAGTTAACGACAGTAACCTTATTAAATACTTCCGGCAAATAATGGGGATTTCTGAGTTTGGTTGTCATATAAAGTCTGAAATTGGGATGGTATTCAATAACGTTATCTCCAATAGCAATAAATTCTTTACCTCCTTGAATGTAAGTATTTTTCATTAAAATTGGATCCAAAGGAGCCTCGACATCTTCAAGAATACATTCGATTAGAGCTGGTTTACCATACTCTAAGCAAGTTTCTAAATATTTCATGTAATGACCATCGGTAAACTTTAATATTTGTAGATCATTTGCTTTTTCCATAGTTTTTATCCACTTGTTAGCTTGACCTTGAGGATCAATGAGCAAAGACCATTTCATAGAATTATCTTGTATGATAGCATTGTCAATCGAAAACGCATCCCGTGGTAATCCGGCAATACACCAGTTTTGGATCTTTATGTCTGTACCTAAAACATCTTTAAGAGCGTATGTCTCTGAATGTGGCATTTTTAATTTTATGATCAGATCACGCCATTCTTTAATAGTTTCTATTCTTACTTGTAGTATGTACGGACCTAAATATGCAATTATCCCACAGGATACTAACATATCACCTGCCAGATTTTCAAATAATAATAGCAAGTTTTCGGCAGCAGCGGTCCATCGAACTCTTTCACCTCCCAGACCACCAATCAATTTTTCTGCTCGATACAATTTGTCAATACAAAGCTGGACTTCATCCTCAAGGGCCTTCTTTTTGAGCATAGCTTCTTCCAATGCTTCGTTCAATTCGGCAAGTCTTGCTTCTAAACGGGCTACTGTAGCTTTTTTCTCTTCCAAAATTGCCATAGTTTCAGCAAATTCTCTCTCCGCAGCCTCTAATTTAGCTTTTTTAGGTGCGACTACCTTTGCCACTGCGTCGTACATGTCCATTGCAATTATCCATTTACACAAGCCTTCGGCAGCTGAAGATGATTTTGCAATAATATGAGGTTTGAAATCTTTGTTAGACAAATATTCTTTTCTAATTTTTTTCATTACATCGACGGGAATATTATCTTTATCAAAATTTCTTAAGTTTTCTAAGAATGCCATATCACCCAAAAGTCGTTTGCTGGGCCCCCAAAAATCATAGATTTTCTTACCCGGATTATCGGGGTCAGGAATTCTGTCAGGAGCAATTCCTTTTATGACGCAAACTGCTGCCATTACTAACTTTACTGTGGCTGGAGGATTTTTCATAGATTTAACTATTGTAATGTCAGCTGGTTTAAGAGTGTTTAAAGCAGCGATCGCGTCTTCTAAAATTGGTAAAGCGAGTGCTAAATCTGCTTCACAATCTTTTTTTAATTCTTTGGCAGCAGCTGCTTGCACGTTAGCCACTTTTTGATCCTCTCTGACTTGTGCAGCTGCTTTATCAGCAATTTCAGTTTCTTTTTCAATTTCTTTCATCATTTTAGCAGCTTTTTCTGACATTATAATCAACTGTGGTTTTAGCGCATTTAAATCACGTTGCATTATGGCTACCGCCTCTGCAGCTTGGTTCAATTTATCTAAACCATTAGTATATCGAAGTCTGGCGGCTTTTAACTCTCTTTGTTTCTTGTTCGTCAATGATGTGAAAGATTTAATCAAATTCAGATATGATGCAGATGTTATATATGACTTCCTACCAAATTTAAAGAAAAAATCATTGGATATATGTCTCGCATCTACATGAAATTGTTTACATGCTATCACAGCCGAAGCTTTCACCGAGTCTGGTACATGAACCTTAACCATAAAATAGTTTGCTACCATCTCTAATGCTTCTTCGGGCCAGCTGTCATACCAGTCTATTGTGCAACAATTAACTAACGATGGATAAAGTCTAAGTCGCAGACGAAATGCGCTTCCTATAGGGCTAAAGCAAAGACAAATATGAAGCTTCGCCCTGCATCTGCCCACAAAGAACGCCAAAATTTGTAGTGGACCAATATCTAAATTTCTATTACCCCCTTGTGCGGCTAAGCGACACAGTTCCAATAATTCTTGCTTTTCGTCTAAGCCGTACATATTAGGAACTTCACCAGAATTTAATAAGCTGTCCAAATTTTGAATAAATGTCTCTTCTTGTATTTGACTTTCAGTAAATAAAAATGTAGTATCTTTAGCCAAACCACCAGATTCTCGAAGTACTGTTTTAAGATCGTCATGCCAGTCTTTGACGCTATAATTTTTAGTTATTTCTGGCTGAAAGCAGCCTTGTCCTAATATAGTAGAGCCCAGACGTACAAGAGATTGACGACCAGATCCGCCGACTCCCACTAATAAAGCATTTCCCATAGGCATTGATAAAACTCGACATATTTTAGAAAGATGTTCTAAAGCATAATCAAACAAAACTATGTACATTTTTGCCTTGTGCATTGCATTGTACTCTGCTAACATAGCTATAGCCACATTTAAGAAAGCTTCTTTCGTTGGTATTTCCTCATATCTCCTTTCGCCTTCAAGACTTTCCAAGTCCAGGTAACAACCAAACATCATTCTTTTTATATTCTCCTGCGTAACTTCCCCTCTTTCGTCTTGGTACACATCCAAAGCATTTTCAAATGTATCTTTCATACAATTTTTAGTTGTATCTTTAAGTACTTTAAAGAACCAATTCCTATCTGTATCATCGACCAATCTGTCATAAAAGACGCGCATTATTTCATGCACCCACAATCTAGTAAAAGTTTTTTTATTGTCAGCAGACTCCTTTCTTAACAAACTACACCCCTGGATAATTCTAGAGAAATCTCTTAAATTGAATATATAATGTGACTTTGCAGGTGTTGGTCGCAAGCCTTCCGTAGCGATGTCGTACATTTCCATTGTCGCTGTGATTATATTGACAATTACTGGTTGCGCGTCTTGACCAAAACCATTTCTTCTCCAACCGAGCTGTAGCAGTGTCGTAAATATCTTAGTCATGCTTTCTTTAGAGAACTCATTTATTGAGTAAATGTTATAATGTCTTAGCATTCTGGGATATATCAACTGTCGACTTCCACCAACTGGTCCAATAGCTCCGAAGAAGAATGTGTCCCATATGTATAATTTATCTGTGGTTTTTAGATCGTACCAATGCTTTTGATCAAAATATAACCTGAGCAATTCAATAGCAGGTTGGGCACCATAGATTTCTTTGGCTGGCATATTCATGTCATCGATAAATATCACAGCTAATTTGCCTTTTGGAGGTCCGTAATTATTTTTCCTTCTCTTTACAAGTTTGGAAAGTACTAAGTCTTGCGTTTGATTGCAAGATGTAGTAGTAGTGAATGTAATGAATCCGGGCGTATATTTATCCATATCTATTCTATTCATTAAATAATTTTGGACATAAAAACTTTTCCCGGTCCCTGTAGGTCCGATCAATAATATAGGTTGTTTAAATTTCACGTGCAATTTTAATAAAAACATATACTTTTCGGTTTCTAAGGTAGGTATGACAGTTTGTAAAAGATTAATCTCTTCTTTGACTACAGCAGCTTTTACACTTTCTGGCCACGGTTTCCAGCAACCTTTGCTTTTATACATGTAATAGTGGTCAATAACCATACCCTCTGTAGGAATGGACACGTCAATTCTTTCAATATTTTCCGGTATTCCCAATTCTCCCCTAAAGTATTCTTTTACTAAATCGTCAAATTTTTCACGGGAATCACTGTTCAGTATGCCTCCGATCCCCCATACAAGCGCCGTCATGAAAGATGCTATGAACCACGTCCTTGTGAATCGAGTATCCTCCTCTCCTTCTATAGCGTTATCCATTAACATTACAATGAGACGAAGAGTACTTATAACTAAATTAACTTCTCCGGCAGCTACTAGTTGTGTGCACGTTCTTCTGACGTAGTGAACTAAAGGATCAATTAGCCATTCGCACATATCGTAAATATACTGTTCGTTATCGTCGGTCCATGCAGGATTCAAAGTATTACACCAGGATTTGTAAAATGGCATGAATCCAAATGTAGAAGATTCCATGTAAATCATGCCACATCTGGAGACAGTGGCTGGAGACGCTTGAGATAAATCCATTACTTCAAAAATCATTGACATTACAGAAGTCATGGCTATCACTTCTCCCGAAGTCAGACAAAGTTTTTTATTGTCATCCAACACTGTGTTCATGTTTTCTATCCATACAGCATCTACAGGTCCATCGAATACTAACCATTTCCTTACAGGAGTGTCGTCAGTTGCAAATTCTCTAAATGTAGTAGCTACTATACCATCAGTCCACTCGTACGAAACTGGGTCGAAAGCGCCATATAACTGCCCCATTGTTACTGCTTTTGGGTTTAGTACTTTATACATGCTCTCTACGCCACCAGGTTGATTCCTTTTTTCCATTAAAGTAAGTGCATCTGCCAATATTTTTAACGTCATAGATTTTCCAGAAAACGGGTCACCCACTAACATATATCCATGTCTCACTATCATCATTTCAAAAGTTTGAATGATTTTAATTAAAAAGCAATCCATAGGTTGCAAATTATCTAACTCGCAACAATCACGACATGCGGTTAGTATGTTTTCGTAATCTGGTTTAGGTAGTGTAATTCCAGGGAATAAGTCGGATATAATGCCTTCAAACAACGGCACATCGAAGGACAAAAATTTAGGTAAGTTGACATCGGTAATGGACCTTAACAGCAGTATGCTTTCATGTTCTAGAGGGAAATCTCTTTTTAAATTGCCTGCAGCAGATAAAACCGTCTTTACTGCTCTCATTCCATAATCGTAGTGATTTTGAGATGACAATTGTTCCGAGCATAAGCGATATGTGGTTACAATTTTAATAGATAAGTTGCGAGCGTCGAAAAAACCAAAAGAATACAATGAAATTTCACCAATCATCGCATAATCTGGGACCATCATAGCAACAGTTCGGAACAATACTTTAAGATTATCTGGTAATTCTGAACGCCCTGCATACCCTGGATTCATTGTGATACATACATAACAAGCAGGATTTAAATTCAAAAGAGTGCCTTCGAATAAAAATTGTTCTAAATGTTGTCTAACAGCTTGAACTATACATAAAATTTGTTGTGCTATAACGGACAGTACTTCGACATCTATTCGGTTAAATTCATCAAAACAGACCCATGCACCGCAAGATGCTAATCCTTTAAAAAATTTTCCCATGGCTTTATAATCTAAACCGTCTGAACAATTAAACACTACACACTGAACGGCGAGAGCTTTCGCCAAATCTTTAGTAGTTTCAGTTTTACCAGTACCTGCCGGTCCTTCTGGTGCACCATTCAGGTGAAGATAATACGCACCTATCAACGTACGGTAACAACGATCTGTTAGAGGGGTGATTACTAGTCGGTCACTATTACCCAAATATTCGTAGGCATAATTGACTACAGCATTTATAATTTTCACCCATACTCTTTCCTCCTCCCAATAATACCTTAGTTGAGCTAACCATTGAAAGTCAGTAACTTCGGTAACATTTTTTCCAATTAGTTCAAATATGACATCTTTAGCATGTACGTCAATGACAATCAAAGCTTTTACTGTGATACTGTTTAATTTTGTTAAATCGGTTCTTCTTATTATCCCGACAGTTTCGGTCAATTGTTTCGTTAAAGATGTATGAAAAGCTTGAAGTTCGCTCAATTTATGGGTGTTTAAAATTGCATGAACATCAATGGCCCAATAGATCTGCGATATGGCCAATACTACCATGCCTTCCCAAGATAATATCCATTCTGGTCTCGTCGTTGTAGGATAGTCATAGTAAGAGAGTTCAGTTTCAGACCTAACAGATTTAAGCATTTGATCTTCCACTTGAACTAACCATTTTTCCACAGAACCTCTTGCAGCTTGTACATTTATTTGTTCGAGGAAGTCTATTTGTTCTCCTTCCATGGATATCATTGTCAGTATAAAGAAATCAGGGTCAAAAACTAATCTGTTTATGCCTTCGAAGCATTTCTTCAGATGAGGCTGTACTTTGAGGGGATTCTTTGTTTCAGACAGAATTTCCAACATTTCATCATTGGACAAGAAGAAAAATCTAGGGAAGTACAAACGTTTCTTTTCGAGATAGTTATTGACACCATCGTTAATTTTTTCTAATAACGTTGTGGCAATTTTGAATTGTTCCAAGACCCCAGCAGATCCAGCAATTTCTAGGGCGTGAGGATCTTTATCTACAATAGACATGTATCTGCGGTAGATACCGTCTACTTCCTGAAACATTACTCCTTCTTCCGGCATTTGAGCCACGATATCTTTTGAAGAAAATATGGGCAACAAATACAACCACTGACTTTGCACTTTTCCCCATTCATCAATGGTTGCATTGGCTCGCGTAATTTTTTCATACCAAGTTCTAACTTGGGCTTCGAAAGGTTTCACAAAAGCGGAACCACGCATTCCAATAGTTTTAACTATGTGGTCGTCTAATACGCTTTGTATGTCATCGAGGCCCGACAGTATATAAATTCCAGTATCCTTGTATGGACTAGTTTTAAAACGTATGTCGATCCACTCTGTTTGCATTTTTTGCAAATTGGTGATTAATGCTAATTCTTTGGTAGCTGCAATACTAATGATTTCATACTCGTCAATCTTCTCCCACAGGTCGAAATCTATGATTTTTCGTAAAGTAGTTCCAGCAGTCGGTGTTAAATCAAAACCAGCTATGGTTGTCATTTCATCCCAATGTCTTTGTCGTAACGCTGGATTGCACATAATATGAGCCATTTGAACGTTTGGTCGCCATGCCTTTAATTCTAGTATTGCTGCCGCACTAATCTTCATGGGTGCAGGTTGATTATTGACATCAACATCTTCAATCGAACCTTGAAAGCGTTTTTCCACGCCTTCAGCAATTTGTTGCTTTATTTTATTTCTGTAGTTTTTCGATATTTTTAAAATCTCTTTGTAATAAAAGTCGTGATCGGAGTCGATTTCATTATGATCCATATACTCAAAAGGACCATCCATCCATGTATAATAGCTGCGCTTCCATTGGTGAATTAAAAATATTAAGCTATGAAAAGGTAATATGTAATCTTTCAGCTCCTCTAGGTCAGGATATGCACTGATGGGGACTTTGAAAGTGGCTTCCTCGTTGTTTATCCACTGTACTAATTTATCGCAAGCGTGAATTCGATGTACCAGTTTGCGCAAGTATTCCAAATATTCAAGAGTGTGATCGACGTCGTCCATGTGATCCAATAACTCTAAGAAAGGTGTCATGTCCTTTACCTCCTTGTTTAAGAGAGCTATCTTTGCTTGTAGATTTTCTTCCATTTCCGCTTTGTGAGCCTCATAGGCGGCAGCATTTTTATCGAATATTGGTTTAATCTTTTTGAGCCAATTCACAGTACGGGCATTTGATTCGACATGTTCTTCAGATAATTCTGTAATTTCTATAAGAGCTGACGCAATTTGAATTTGACGGGTGATTCTAACCTTCAAACCTTCGACTAAAACAGTCTTGGCGTGTAAGATGTATATTCCTTGTTCTACTAACTCTGCTGCGTTGGCTGGATCCTTTAAAGCTTTTGCTGCTATTTCTTCAAATTCGTCACAAATACTGTCATTTTCTGCCATATGAGTGGTGACTATACCAGCTATAATATCATTGACAAATTCACAAGCTCTCCGTTTTAAACCATCTACCATTCTAAATTGGCATACAGTAGCACAGTTAAAGTACTCATTTTCTAATGTAGATGTTATATCGTAGTCAATGCTCCGGAAATATAATATTTTATCACAACCTTGTTCAAATTCAACACACTCTAGGATAAATTTATCAAGCGCCGTTTTGGCGTCTGCTCCATACAGCATCTTGTACTGCTTGCGCAAACTGTCTGTGTAGCCAAGTAATGGAGCATATACTTCATCTAAAACTTTCTGTAATCTGACATGACCGTTTTGACACAGCCACTCATTGTAATTAACTGGCAATACGTCGATGTCATATGTCAAACGAAGATATTCTTGTATGGGCATAAGCCTTTGGCAAATATTTGAAATTGCATCAGCTATGTCATGAAAAGTTTCATACACAGTTTGTAGAGAAGGATCGTACTTGAAATCGTCATCAAAATCGAGGTCCAAGTGTAAAATCGGAACCTTGGACTCATTTGGCATATCACTTATAATGGTGTCAATTGATCGACGCATCAATTCTTGTATTTGCATAGAAATAAGTTTGGTTGCGACTCTCACAAAATCAGGTATCTGTTTCTGGCGCATAGTTTTTAGACATCTCGGATTTTTTAACCAGGCACAAAGGGTACCACCGTACCAAACACTAGCAAGCATATGTTCAGCTTTTTTAATTTCATCGTGCACCTTATTTTTGAAATCCTCCAACTTTATCGGTCCTCTGGCTCTATATTTCGCCAAGTCTATTATGTACGCTGGGAACATTCTTTCTGCAGATTCGAGAATTAGTCTTATAAAGGGATGGAAAAGTAGAGAACCGCCTTGTAATCTTTTGCGATACTTGAGCATTTTGCTATAATTCTGTGTTACTCCACTGTATTTAAAGAAAGGTTCCTGATATCTCAATCGGGGCACACCGGGAATTTCGCGTATGACTGTTTTCACGGCGAGGTCATGAAGGTTGTGTTCCCATTCATCTTTGCTTTCCTTGATAACAGCATTTGTGACTGAAGGATACGGAGCGAGAAGTTTGGGAGGGACGAGACTTAAGATTTTCCTTTCCCAAGATTTAAGCATCGGCGGCGGACGGACTTTGTCCGCGCACTTGCGTATCACGGCGATGTGTCGGTCTTGCGATATCTCGAGAAGATCTCTTTCGAAGCGCGGTAAAGGTGGTTTAGCGATCTTTATTTTCCTCTCTGTGGCTTTGTCTTCTAGAGCTTTGCGAAATTTTGCTCGTTTATCCTGCAACATAATGGTAGATTCAGCACGTAATGAATCACAGACAACGTAGGTCAATAATAATTTCACTTTTGTGTTTTGGTGTTAATATTTGGTTTTAGATGTTGTATATAAAAAGTAGGTATTAAAATGATATCAGCTGTTCCTTATATTTTAACATTTCGTTTGGAACACCTGCTTTTTTATTACGTTACTAGGGCTTAAAGTTCAAATCACAAAACGGATTCAGTGACACAAATCACTCAAGTCTTTCTGTCAGTCAAACAAACAAAACAACAAATCATTAACGCGCATTATTATCTACAAGTTAACAGTGAAAAGTAGTACCATAAAATATACAGGCGGGCGCCTAAAGTAGTAGTAGTAAAGTAGTTAAAAAATATATTTTTTTATATGAAGTAAATATGTATGTAAGTTTTAGGTACCAAATGAAAAGGGCTTATTTAATTATCGGGGTTTACCTACTGCTAAAAATGGTCAAAAATTATTATTGAAAACAATTTGATCCGGAACCATTCCTCACCACCACAGGATCTGTTCGAGTCCTTCTCTCAAATGATAAAATTTTTAATTACAAATACCAATTTACTTCATTCTAAATATTTTCACAAATTATGTTATATATAAGTACCTAACACAAATAGCAACACCATAGATACAAGGAAATATCTATGAGCAATACGGCTATTACCTGGATTCGATTGTACGGAGGCAGTGGCACGAAGGGTAGTTCATCCATCATGTGGACATCAGGTATAGGTAGTAGCTTCGGGACTCGACATCCATTCTTTGTGGTTAACAGTTTCCTTATCTCGCTTTCTTCCATTGTAAATATCAAATATACACTTCACAAAATTAAATACAAAATAACTGTTATAATAAATCTATGACGGCCATTATTAGCATAAATGAAAGAAAAATGAAATAGTAATAAGGTACCCTTAGAAGCATTTGACATGCGTCGAATTTAATTTAAAGAATTCAACAAAACACTCGGTTGCCAAGGAAATCGTTTGGCAGCTATTGTTTTTAACTACAGATGGAAAAAGATGGGAGTTATAAGTTCGAAACATCTAACAATATAAAAAATAAAACAAAAAAGCAATTCATTCTATTCCAAACTATCTGGATGGTTCTTCACAATGTTTGATGAACATACTGCTAAACTTATCAACACTTTTCTCTGTTAGGGCGCCTTCAAATTAAACGCTTATAAAATGTGGCGCTGCAGTGGTGCTGTAGCCGCGACACTTCTAATTTTCAACACAATATTTAGAAGTGCAGCTGCAGCGCCACAATCGCACCTCTTTTGCAGACTAGTACATAATATGAAAATTAGTAGACGCGCCACTGCAGCGCTTCTATAAGCGTCTAATTTGAAGCGTGCCCTTAGTGTAGGGATTTGCGTGCCTTATTCCAGCGTGACCATGGTCGAGTTTTTTAAATTTGACTAGCCAGAAAAAAGTCGCTATTTAGTCGGTTCTAGACGCAAAAAAACTAGATTTAGTCGTTCCGTCGTTCAAAAATTTAAGAGTGTTTTACTGTCCACGCCGTTGGGTTAAGCTTATTCCAGCGGCACCATTTCTCAATCTCGGGAACCATAACACCTAGCTGACTACATTAAAAAAAAATCGTGATTTAATCGGTCCTAATCGTAAAAAAGGTTACCTATCAGTAGTTTGAGACGACATTTTCCAGAAATAACGTTTGGTCGAAATTTCATAACCTCGAAAGTAATTTTGAGAGGAAAATGTTTTTTCTTTTAAGCCTAACATAACCTAACCTTTTTTTTTATTATCGTGAGGAAAATGCGTTACGCATTCCCCACCGCTGGGAGACGGCGGGGATATGTGGGACTCTCTCCTGGGGACTATGTCGGTCCCCAAGAGCATACCCACTAAAAACCTCACGATGCTCCTCCTCCCACCGCGGTACCGGAGAACGTCTCGACGACGAATCTCCAGCACCGTGCAGAGTCACGGGGTCCCTTTCGGATTCTACCGCGACTCCGCCGGTGGTGATCCGCTTCTTCAGCGGACCCCTCCTCGATCCCCCCTCGGCAGGGAACCTCCACGGTGATGCCCCGGAGCATTAGGGGCATCTGCCGTCTGCGCTGGCCTGTGCAATGCAGAGGCAGGGCCTCCCAACCCTGCTCCCTGCTGGCCTCCGCGTCCGCCCTAGTCGCCGACGCCGAATCTGGTCCGCAAGAGAGTCATCCTCGCGGACCCGTTCGGCAGTCTCCTTCTGCGACATGACATCTTCGCAAAAGGTGACCATTGTCTGCTACGACCTCTCGCTTGTCAGCTATGGCTTTAACCACCCTGGGCAGCGAGAGGTCACTTCCCATCTCCGCCACGAGAGTGGTCCGCTGCGGACTACAGGCTGGACACACCTCTAGGATGTGATGTACCGAATAACTCGCAGCTCCGCACTCGTGGCACTCCGGGGTCGCTTCCCTCCCGGCAATCTTGTGCAGGTAATCACCAAAGCATCCATGCCCGGTGAGCATCTGCACGAGCCGGTAGGTCAGCGACCCGAACTTCCTCTTCTTCCAGTCGGCCAGGACCGGGTGCAGCGCCTGGATTGTGCGTGTCCTGTACCTGGCTGACTGAAGATTCTCCACCAACTTCCTCCGGAGCGTGTGCTTCGCGGCTCGTTGCACACTCGCCAGCTCCTCCGGTGAGGGGCGCTCCCCGCCATCCCTGGCCTCTGCCCGGCACCGATAGGTCTCCTCGAGGACAGACGCCTCGAGTTCCCACTGTGGGGCTCCGGCCAGAGCGCATGCCGCATCGCCGGACGCCGTCCGATACCTTCTTATGGCCCTCACCGCCATTATCCGCTGCGGTCTACGCAGCAGCGGTCTGGTTTTAGCAGTGAGAGCCTCGGCCCAGATAGGCGCCCCGTAAAGGGCCATGCTCCTAATGACGCCAGCAAAGAGTCGACGGCAGTCGGAGCTGGGCCCTCCCACGTTAGGCAATAATTTGCCGAGTGCAGCTGCGGCGCTCACGAGTCGGGGGCACAGCCGGCGGAGATGCTCGTGGAAGTTCCACCGGCTGTCGAGGGTAAGCCCTAAGTACTTGAGATGTGGGCTCATCCTCATCTTTCTGCCTTCCACCTCCATCCAAGAGCCGGGCGGAGGCCCTCTACGAGGACCATGGAAGGCAATGACCTCCGTCTTTTCTAGGGCCACCGTCAGGCCTAGCTCCCTTATGCGGTTGATCACTTGGGTGCATCCACTCGTGGCCAGCCGTGACGCCTCCTCTCAAAACATAACCTAACCTAACCGAACCTAATCGTGTCTTTGCGACAAATATTCAACATATCTTGAAAGAACAACTGTTTCGTTATAATTCGGTTTTCGGTGTAATGAAAATTGGAACAAACGTTATTTCGAACAAAAAAATGTTCGGCTATGTGATAGGTTACCCGTAAAAAAACTAGCTTTAGTTGATGATTACACTAAAAAAGTCGTGATTTAGCCGGTTCTAGTCGTAAAAAAACTAGATTGTCGTTACGCCGTTTTGAAGTTCTTAAGGTGTTTTACTGTCCACGCTGGAATAAGTTTATCCCGGCTGCACCATTTTTGAATCACTACCAGTCCCCAAGCTCCATCCCCTCCATCAAAACATCTGGATTAGGTATATCATCAAACATCGTTAAAGTAGGTGCTTCGATTACAACACTTTCATTATTATAGAAGAGGGATGGTTTTTCTGCGCATTTTTGACAATGAGTTAAGAAATTGAAAAATATATTATACTACAGTGCGTAAAGAAAACCCACACGTTGGAACATATCATTCATGCTTTATTTATCAAAACAATAAAAGAGATATTTAATTATTCCATGTCGAGCTAGAAGATGAATTGATTTACTTCTAAAATCACAGAATTCCCATCAACCCTATTTGACATTTTTAGAGTTGATTTAAAAAAAACATATCTTTTAAAGAACTAAAATATCACTATTTCAAATGTTTAAATATTTTTTTGTTGAAATTTCCATGCAACAGATTTAAATATTTATATGTTTTAAAGGGATGATTGTAAAAAAATCCCTTCTTATTCGTTACTTATATCACATAGAATCCTCAGCTGATACCTCATCAGTAATTACTTTTGTTGCATATAGGTATGATATATGGTTTTCACATTACTAAAGGAAACAATACCGAACACGGTTTGTAAATTATATTCGGTCAATTGTGAACAGTTGCACATAATATACAGTGCACGTACACTCGGTAATATATATCTTATTTACATACCTTGTATGCATACGACACGCATTGAAAGTAAAATTGCATAGTTCAAGTATGAATATGATGCGGAAGGGTCTCAAAATTATTCTGTCTGCAGACCTGATAACCTAACGTTCAGTCAGGTCTGTACTTGATCCGTCTATCATTTTTCTGTAGTACTATTTTTTTTTTCGCATAGGAAAAGTATACATTCTGTAATGCCGAAATATAGATAGGGTCGTATTCCTATTTGAGTTGTCCAATACTATGTAATATTAGTTTCATGCGCAAATTAAAAACAGAATGTGTAAGACGGAAGACACAGCTCCAGAAATATAACTTTATTTACAGAATCACAAATATTTTATAATGAAAATATACTCAGATCGAATCAATTTCAGTTTAAAACTATAGTCACAAGGTACTAATGAGTCTTTCCTTAATTTGAAACAATAAAATTTATCACTAAAACCGTGTCATTAGATGGTTGTAAATCATAGGCCCCTTATCGAAGACGCAACGTTTTGCGTTCGTACCTTGACACGTGAAGTGTTGATGTTGAAATACTAAAGGAAAGAGAGAAAACTATTAGGCAATATTAGGACGTAGTACAACTATAACAAAATCTCCAAATTATAATATTATAAAACAAATATATACAATTAAGGCAGCTAACAATGAGTGCCACAAGGGCTGCGTGTCAAAAAGATAAGTGTGACATTCACTGACATTTCGTAGCTATTTGCGAGTGACGAGAAATAAATAGTAAATAGAGGGACAATTTGCCGAGCATCAGGACAATAAAGACCCCGAGCCTTTAGAATATTAGTTGTTGAAAGAGTTATTTTTGCGTTTGAGACGAGTGCTGCACTATTGAATATAATTTAGATTTATTGTGAACCAATCGTTATAACGCACGAGAAACAGTAAACAAAAACAGGCAAAAAATATGTTATAAATATAAGGCATAGATATTCGAAGCTTTACAGGCAGAGTTTTATTATATATCGCCAGTAATGTGTCCCATTGCAGGGCAAAGGCCTCCACTATTTCTTTCCAAACACCCCTATTGTGGTCCGCCATCCGATTTCTACGAAAATTGTTTACATTCAAATATTCATAATTTTCACGTGAGCCCTTGATAAGTACTGATAAAAAGACAACAAACAAACAAGTCTACAAATGAGTTCTTTGAGAATTGCACCAATAGATTACACAATGGAATGTTGTGATATTAATTTCTAATTTTTTATATAATCATAGAAAAAGTATACAAACAGGAACAATTGGAAGATTATAACATTTTCAGCGACTTTTTCAGTCTTTATTCGATGTCAAATGTACATTTTTCAATACACATGGCACTACTATGTGGATCTAAGTACTAATACCACTCTAGGAACATTATAAATAATTTCATTTAAAAAATTAAGTATATAAAAATATTTTTATCTAATATTTTGTACATTAAGCAAAATGGCCAATTTTGTACACAGCTCTAAGCATATGGCGTTAATACGAAGCCCTTAATAAGAATTAGAAAAATGAAGCTCCACATTTTAATCATCAATTATTGACCAAATAAATCGGTGCAGTTTTTGCCCACCTCATCTGGTTTTATAAACGGATCATTTAAAGGTAACTAATCTGTACACAAAACGTTAGAAAGTACTACGTTCAGGCGCTGCGAGAGGCTTTAGTAGGCTGGTAACGACTGATGGACATTAAACATAAAGTTGTCCCGACTTTATTAGGAAAGTCATTATTATAATATATATGTCAAATGTAAATATTTATAAGAAGCTCATTGTTATTTAACAAACTACCATATAATACATTTAATAGCATCAATGAGTATTCAAGTTGATTTCGATAAATATACGCAAAAACTTTACAAAATATATTCGATATGCTATTGTTATAATGATACATTTCAAGGATTTGGAAAGTGCTAATTAAAATGAATCTTTATGTTTTGTATATAAACTATACTACCTTAACATTCACTGTTGTTTTTTCTGACAACAAAGGTAAACATTGCTATATCGCAAATTCATAAATATTCTTAAATTCACAAGGCAGAGTTTGATTAACTCTCTTTCAGGGTACAGTACTCGAAAAAAAATTATTGTAATATCCACCTAAAACAATTCCTACGAAGCCTATACAGCTTTGGTCATATTTATACTATAAAAAATCCTGAATAACAAATAAATAATATTAATAACTCAATAAAAAACATGTCTAATGAATATTTACGTTATGATAGTTACAATTTCAATAGAGTCTATGTATGTAACATAATGTAAAAATATGTGTATCCCTTATTAAATGATTATATTCACCATTTTACACTTGCCCTTGTCATTACACGATTTAAAATAATTAACTTAGATAAACTTAGCCTCATAAATCTCAAAACCATTGAGCAACTCTTCATAATTAGACTTAAAAGACTTACAACTTAAAAATGGTGTAGATTTAAAGTTACCTTTGGACACTGAAATGGTAGCGCTTGCTTGATGTTTAACATCTAAGCAAGTAATATCATTTTTTCAATTTTCGCAACATGGCGAGAGACCAAACATAACCTGTCAGTCGTAAGTACGCGATGAACAACAGCTACCAGTTTTTCAATTGTATGTTAGATTGACAAACGTGTCTGTAATACGCCTTACGTTTTAGTGTCTATACAGTGTTACTAATTACGTATAGAAAAGTCGCATAAGGCAGTTCTCGACCGCTACGCTACAGGAGCAGGAGGTGGGTGCGTGATGCAGTGCGATGCACACGAGATGAAAACATTTGAGGACAGTTTAAACATTTAGTTATGATTATGATTGCTTAATGGCGTGTTAAGGCATCAATGGCACCATTATCTATTTGACGTAGACCGAATGAAAATAATTATACTTTATTAAATAATATGGCAGATACCAAAAAAATATATAAAAAATTGAAATAAAATAAACACACACGAGATATATTTTATTTATTTTTTAAACAAAGGGAAATATTTTTCTCAGAGACTTCAAACGTTGATTATTCTGTTTCAATGTCTTGTCTAGTTATGCAATCCTACACACACTTTTTCGATAATCTCGGAAGTTCTGTTATTGCTTTATTTAAATTTATATCTTGTTGATATTCTGCAGCAATCGGGCAGAAATTTTCTTTTCTTAAAAATATGCTAAATGTCAATTGCTAAGCCTAACTACTAATTTTGTGTCCGAAAATAGATCGATTTATCTCGGGAATGTAATCTCGTATGTATGCTTCACAGAGCGATCACGACCCGTCAAAACGTGTACTGCTCACCGCGTAGCAAGTGCACTGAGCTGCATCAAAATAGCTCTATAATAGCGCCTGCCTCCCCCTCCCCGCACGATTCCCTACGTCATCATCACCTGCGCCTCTGTAGCATCGCGAAGAGGACTAAATCCGTCAAATTTCTATTTTTATATCCTTGATGAACCTGTGCAAAACCTACCTACAACTAATAATGGTTTTGACGTCAACGTTCTTTAAATTTCGACATCACCCAACTGTCAGTCTTTATTGGATTATATGTTATAATCCAAGAAGAATAATATTAAAAACAGTAAGTTACAATGACAAAGGCAAGTCGTACTTATCTAGGATATTGCGATCAAGCCCGTAGAGCAATGGGCTTTTTGTGTGGTCATACGCTCGCGCCGAGTAGACGCTCATCCGCCGATTGCTCATCGTCTTCGGACCCTGACTTATCTTTCTTTATTGATTGATAACGCACCTGCAAATGTATGCACGTATGCTGGATATTTTCTCATAATTTTTTATCTCTTGCTAAGGAAAATTTTATGAGGAGTCGGCATGATGTAGAAAATTTTCACAAACACTACATACAGTATACAGTAACAGCTTGACGGCAGAAATAGGTATAGTGGCAATCTTCCCTGGACGAACTCTTTCACAAGAAGTTCTACTGCTATAAAGTTCTCAGCCCACATTGTGGTGGACTATGGCTTACCCTACTTTAGAACCGTACCCAGAACTGGAATGCATTGGCGTTCCAAATGTACTAATAATGTTAATAAAGAGACATAGAACATCTGGACATACCTTCGTTTTAATTTTAGAGCTAACACCCCTCGGATGGTACATCAGGAAGTTGTCTGTCACCCAGAATATTAAAATCTGTAAATACAACATACAATTCAAGAAAAGGAATTCATTACATACGTACTGCTTGAAATTTAATTCATCAAGGAAAGGCAGACAACGTCATACATAGGGCAAAGCAGTTGATGATTTTGGCAGGCCAACACAGTAATAACAGAGCAATGTTCTTAAATAACACAGGAAGATTTTGGTGAGCTACACGTATTTAGCATTCTTGAGGAGATATGCTAATTCATAACTGACAATTATGCTGCAAAATTACAGCATCAAATCATTGACGCAAACCATTAGTGTCATAATACTAATTTATGATTTACATTGTGTTAAATTTCCTATACATTTATATATTATTTATTTACACAGATGCTAGTTATCTAAAAAATATTCAGCTTACGTAAGTCACAAAAAGAGGTACAACATGTAGTACGCAAATAATTACCTATACATATACGTCAACAACAGGTAATAAAACCGTAAAAATATAACGCAATAAATCGCTTATAAGGAAAAGAAACACTTTTATAGTTAGGTTTATCAATGCATATTTTTCAATGAGAATATAATAATAAGCACGTCTGGGCTGGTCAGTTCTTCATTTATATCAATTTAATTCAATGTAATAAAGTGATGATGCAGAACTATCCGATAGTTGCAGTGTATTAATAACAAAGTTAAAAGTTGTAATGAAGTTTATTGAATATCACGATGTTTTACTCCCACAATAATCAATTATTTTTGTGATTTTGTTAAGTTACTCCACTAGTTCGTTACGATTTTAATACAAAAATCGAACATAACTACGACATGAATCAGCGACCTGACCGTACCGTGACCGACGCTTTAACAAAGTTGTATCATAATAGTAACTTAGGTGACTGTTAGGCTCAACTCACACTGGCGCAGAGTCGAAGCGTCGCGTCGCGTGCTGTTTTGCAGCTACACCGCCTGGCGACGCGCGTCGACGCATTAGTGCGCCGGGATCACAGTGTGGTCGGCGTCTGACGCCTCACGGCGCCCAAGTGACGCACGGCGACGCGCGACGACGCGCGATGCCGCTCGGATGCTACCAAGCGTCGACGCGCGTAGTCGCGCGTCGCCTCTCGATTCCATATTTAAAACACAAATGTGTGTAGTGTGTGTGTGTAATAATGGGAAAATAGAGATGAATATGCTATAGGCGAAAAATATGACGCGACGCGACGCGACTCTGCACCAGTGTGAGTTGAACCTTAGGTACATATTGAAAAGCATTAAAATACGAGTGTGACCTCACGTGTGTTTTAATGCCTAATTATGTACAGTTACATACACTGTTTTATCTATACACATATTATAAGCTCTCTGTGATGTGTTCATGAACCGCATGTTACGGCTGGCGAAGTGGCGGTAAATAAAAACTTTTCTTACGCATAGTAGTTTTTATTTATTAATTCATAGACAAACTAGAATCGCCCCCAATTATCATATCGTTCAATATCAAGTAATGTGTAAAATTGTCAAAATAGTTTGCTATTGACATTTCATTTCGAATAAAACTTAATCTCGACTGATATTAGAATTGAGGTCCAATCGAATTGTTTTGTTTTTGAGAGATGTTCTAAATTTGAATGTAATAATAAAATCGAATTCAATGTTATTACGAAGCAATAACAACATTTTCACAGATAAGAAATTTGTTCTAACAAAACAGTTTATCCTTAAGTTGGTCGTAATTTGCGATTTTTGAACACATCATAGAAGGTTTAAGACATGTGTAGATAAAAATATTTATTTTACTTGTTTAAATTTATTTCAACAAAAATGCAGCAGGTAACTTATTTACTGAAAGTCGCCAAACTGCTGTACAGTTTGTTGGCGATATGTGCAATCCTACTTAATTATACCTACTTTACTATGTATTTTAAAACATTACCTAGTATTAACTGTACTTAGTAAATAAAATATAAAAATTACATTAAGAGGTACGTATGCCTTTAACCTACATTTTAGTGCATATTTACTTAATTTTGTGTCGTTCCTAAGCCAATCAATGTCGTTATATATTTCTGGAACTAAATAACGTGTACATCTTTTTCCAGAATAGTTATTTGCTTTAAACTGCACTAGTTTACCCTGCCTTACTCTTTTCATCATGTACCTATTCTTAAGCGAACTATATAATTATCACTATAGTCATTTTCCAACACTATCAAATACCTTCTCTTTATTTCTATTGGCATGACCTTACAGTAACTAAATTAATACTATTTATTTATTTATTAATTAAATACACAATGTAAACTTACAGTAACAACCGCTTTCATGCTAATTACTTATACAACATACATATTTGATACGCTAAGTATGCCTTATAAATTACTTTGCTAATGTTACTATGTAGGTATAGGGTCAAGAGCACGTCAAGCTTTACACTTAAGACTTAAATCCAACTCTATGCCGCTTTCGATAAGAACGGTCTAAAGTGTAGAGTGTCAAGCTTGATGTGCTCTTGACTGTACACTCGTATTAGTATCAAGACACACTTTGTCTTAATATCTTGCATTTGGAAAACATTGCTCTTTGTATACATACTTTTATTATGTTTTTGTATTGGTGGGCAGTTCTCTAATTTTGTATTATGATTAACAATTGCATTTGCAAATGTCCGGATGTTTACTTAACATCTATCTCATGCGATTTCGATTATCGGGAAAAATGTGTTGTGTAATAGACAAATACCATTATTGCACAACTAATAGTCCAATAGTCTCCTTCTTGTTACCCTGCAACTTTACGGTGATCGCCTATTCATCTATCAACGGCAATTATTTCTGCTTTTTTTATTTATTAGTAACTTGTGTGTTGTAAAATGGTGTGGTATAATACCTCAGGCACAAAATAAAAAAGTTACCAACAGATGGGGATTGTCTCATACAAAAAAATTAACTACATATATCTGCTCAATAACCTAATAACAACACCGTTTTATGACAGAAAAAGTAATCGTTCTGTGCCATACGCAAAAGTTCTTGTGAAAAATAAATGCTAAAATGTGTTTTTAAAAAAGGCTTATCAAATATGCAATATGAAACTGTATTTATAATATAACGATATCTATGTACTAGCATACTAGATGCGGCTTATACACACGTTGTGCGGTGAAGACGCTGCACATCATTTACTTGGTCGTCAAACATTCAAGATGGCGGACGCAGATGCGGTCCTCTTTGAAAATTATTTACATCGGTGTATTGCTACCATTTCGCAGTTTGACTAACGATGTGAACATAAATTTAGAGTTTTAAATTATGATTCGGTAAGTAATGTTGTGGTTTTTGATTAATTTGTGCATTATAACATATGATAATCGCGAAATAATATACAAAATTTCACACTACCCATCTCGTTTAGCAAGCACGTAATGGCGCGTGTTAAAACAAAACATAAATCATAGATTAATAAGCAAGAGTGTTCTGACTACACAATAACAATTATATAAATTTAAAAAATATACATATATAAAAAGACTAGACTCAACGATATCTATGCACTTGACTAGGCTTTATAGACTAAAGATCTTTGTCTTGTCTTTCCGCAAGGAAAAGTACATAACATAATACCAATAATTTCAACTCGACTGTATTTTTTTTTCTTTTAGGTACTTTGATTTTCTTTTTAGTAATATAATAATTACAAATAGTAAGCGGAAGGCCCTTGGGTTAAAGCAAAATTGAATATATTGTGCAACTAATAGCGATTTTGCCAGGGGCTTTACTTTAATTCCCCAACTATGGATAAATGTAACTGGTAAATATTCAATGTTATGTGCCTGTCTAGATCATTCCCAATAGGTATAGGCTGTCACGTCTGTCCACGATATTACGGTGCTGATACTCTGACAAAATTCAACACTATAGTCGTCACCAAATAAGAGGCCAAATTTGACAGCTAAAGAAGACGATATTATGTAACTTTGAATGCGATCAACGAAAGTTTTAAGAAAATACAAAAAGTTTTATTGAAACACTATATAATATGACAAAACATATTTGAAGTACAGTTTTCGCACGAATTCCAAAATAAAATGCAATTTTGAGTTCCCCGAAAAGTTCTGAAAACAGTTACGTCCTCAAGCTATTTAAAAAAAAAATAATGTTGTAAGCAATTAATCGCCGAAATTCATCGAGTCACTTAGATTTGTCGGAAAAAATATTTAAAAATTTTTATAAAAAATTACGCACATTATTTGAAATTCTTTCTTGGTGACATTGACAACTTCTAACTTATTGTCAGCCGAATAATTGTAAATTTATGAAATCCTTGGTTTCTTGGTAATTTAATATTTTTATGTAATTGTTTTATCGATGACTATATTTATTTACACTAAATTCTCATAATAAACCACTTATGAATACTATAAAATCAAAATTAAAAGAATTGGATACAATTCATCGGAATGTGAGACAATTTTACGAAAATAAGAGGAATTGCTACAGAATTGCAATTGAACAGAATTACACGACTTTTATGGCCCCTGAAGAAAATGAACCGAAAAATAATCTAAACAATCACAAACTCTTAAAATTTTGAATCGATTTCTCGTAAAAATCCTATAATGTGATTAGCGACATGATTAGAACACATTCCTATTCGCATCACGATGAAAAGTGTCAAATTTGGCCTCTTATTTGGTGACGATTATAAAACAAAACACCATCACTGTTGATAGTGTTTTGTTTGGATCTGTTTGGAACATGTAGTTTGCTGTAAATTGTATTGTCTTTAGACTGAAGTCGTTGTTAAATACTTTTTTTTAGAAAATGATATACACGCGTTGAATTGCGCATTGAACTAATATAAAAGAATATTTTTGACAATCAAATAATTCAATTAATGTAAAAGAAATTATTTTTTTGCTTTTCCCTTCAGCAATAGCCTCTCAACAAGTGTAATAAAATAAGGCATAACTTAAATAGAACAGTACACAGCTTCATTACATTATAGTAAATTTCGTTTCATGGATACTTAATTTTAATAATAAATATTTTTATTTGACTAAAGATAGGTATTATCTTACTAGTTAATTTTGGGGGACAGATAGCAGAGTTGCTATCATATTATATTAATAGTTCAGCCAAATCGTTCGCAACCAGACCGGCTGCTTCTGAGCAGTCCATTGACATAGGTCCGTTTACTGACATTAATCAGTCTGTTGAAAATAATTCCGTTTCCGATAATTTAATCGATAATTTAAATTAATAAAACAACGGAGACACACTATAGTAACACAGTGACAGTAAAAAAAGCAACCTAAACACATAGAAATAAAATAAATTGTATATTAAACCTGGTGTACTAAAATATTCACGTTATGAAAGGCAAAGAGTTAGAAATAGAATTATTTATTAACTGTAATAATATTGATATTCTTTGTATTTATTACTGAGCATCACTTTTTTATCTAAACCAGTCATGTTTAGCTTCAACAATCACCAGGTATATAGTTCGTTCAGTAGAAAAAAAGCTATTCAGACGATGTGAACAATGCTACATCTAAAGTAGTAAATTGATTTGCAGTTACTAACCTGCTCCTTAACGAGAAAAATACAAATTGTGTGAAATATACAATACCCAATGTTAGACAGACGGACACAAACATTATACAGTTGTATTTCTAGGTACAACTTTAGATGCTAAATTGCAATGGGGTCCACATATAAATAAGTCATCAAAAGGACTCAGCAGTATACGCGATAGAAAAAAAACGAAAACTTTCAGACGTCCAAACAGCTAGATTGGTGTACTTCAGCTAGTTTCACAGTTTAATGACATACGGCATTTTGCTTTGGGCTAATACCGCCGATATTAATAGAATCTTTGTCCTGCAGAAACGACCGGTTAGGGCAATTTACAATCTGGGCCCCAGAGTGTCTTTGAGAGATAAGTATAAAGAGATTAACATTTTTACACCAACGTCACAGTACCTTTATTAAAATGTTATTTATTTTAAGATATGAGAAATAGTGACAAACATTACATTAATACGAGGAATAAAAACCGGCCTCAAAAGTACGTGGAATTACATATAATTACCAAGTTTTATTGAAATCGGTTACCGGAAAGTGAGCAAACCCGGATTCATCCCCTAGTTCGCCACTATACGGGACTTGACACAGGAGATAATAAAAATCGGTCCTCACTACTCAAAGTATATTCAGAGATAAAAACGCCTTGAATTGGAGAATAGTAAAATCTACAATTAAAATAATTGCTCCTTATAATAAAATTTAGGCGTCATTTATAAAAATGAATCTTCACGCGTCAACAGCCATCCTTAGAGATTGATGATTTTCTTCAAAATTAAATGGGACCACTATGGACGTACCCTCTTTCCAACAAAAAAAGTATCATGAAAATCGGTTCACAAATACCGGATGCATTGCGTAACATACATACAAAAAAATATATACATATACAGTCGAACTGCGAACATCCTTTAAAGTTGGTTAAAAAGAAACTAGCTGTTCTTTACAGTCGTCTTCATAAAGTCTCAGATTTATTTAATCTTTACAGTCGTCTTCATAAAGTCTCAAATTCATTTAAGGGGCCAATGTATACGCCTCTATATTAAGATTCCGATTGATATTCAAAATTTGCCATTTACGAGGTTTAAAATTATTGTGAAACAAAAACTTTATACTAAACGTTATTAATATACAACTTCTGCGTACTTAGATGACCTGTTGAGCTCTTTCAGGTATTCTCGATCTAAGATGTTTAAATAAAATATTGTAATGATAAAACGCACTTAACAACTAACATAGTATTATCTCAAAAATTGCGTTATATTATATTTTATCTGAAAATTACGTTTTAATAATAATTTATCTCCAACAACGACAACGAATGAGCAGTAGAGTTTAATAAGTGTGACGATTTCAAGTGTAATTTATATAAAGATTATTTATATAAATTAACACCTCAGAAGAATTGTTTAAATGTAAAAAAATTACAATCAATTTCCACTATTTCTTTGGAGGCATTATGTTGCGTAGATAGTTATTCAGTTTCACGAAGAGTGTCTTCAAATAAAATACAAACCAAATGAAAACATACATTGAGACATCCAAATTATGTGTCGGTTTAAATCTGATATCTTAATTCTCGACAGAATTTATGTTAGTTGCCATAGTAAAACAGAGAGAAAAAGATCACGTCATGACGTACTTTTCTTACATAGAGCTCTTTCTGTGTTTGTCGCATCTGTCTTCAAATGTGTGTCTTTTCATAATATAATACAACAAACAATTCTCGCTTGTTCGGCCTACATTCGTCAACGTACACTCCGCTCGGAGCGTAGGGTTGTCACACTACTATTTTAGTTGTACTTATAGATTGTAAATACAATTTAAAAAAACATTAAAGCTGTTTTAAGCTGATATACGAACAGTATATCAGCATCGCGGATTGGCACTTCAAATATGGGTGTATAAAATAGAAATGAAATGCTGAACAAATCTGAACGTGAGGCACTCTTGTTCAAACATCGACAAACACAACAACAAATATGTTACTAATTGGTGTCTTTTTGCAAAATGCTTTAATTCTATAATGAATGGCGCTTGCACGACCCTCGGATAATGCGAATGTGTGCGTCCGTACACGGCGCGTGGCGGGCATGCACACAAACAAGCCGCGTTACTACACTGCCCTTGTAACGAAAAAAAGCACAACTGTGCGTACTTTATATAGCGGTTGTGCCTTTTTTGTTCCGAGGGCAGTACATTTGTATGGAGTTATCGTATTTGTTTTACTATATCAAGGTTTGTAACGAATGTATGTAACTTATACGTGAGGCGCACTGTAAGTTTACGGAATGAATAAGAAAAAAATACTAAAAACGGTCAAAACTCAATTTATTGTTTCTCAAAATCTTCTCCGTTAGCGTTAATGCACTTTTTCATAAAAATGAACCAATTTTGAAAACATATATGCCACTCCTCCGTGACAATCTCTGAACATATTTTTCATACTCTTCGATAACCTTTTCAGGTGAAGAAAATCGTTGACCCGTAACTGGTTCTTAATTTTTGGAAATAAATAAAAAGTCACAAAATGCCAGGTTGGGACTGTACGCGGGATGGCTCATAAGGTCAACGTTATTCACCTTCAAAAATTCATTTGTCTGTCTGGCCGCGTGAGCACTGGCATGGTGCAAGATAATACGGAGTTTACGGTTATTTTTACGGAGATTGTCAATAACTTCCGGCAAACAAATGGTCGTGTATCAATCAATCGTTGTACCGTGAATAGTCACGGTTATTCACGGTACAACGATTCTCCAAAGCGACAGTATGCACGTGTCCAGTTTTATTTAAAAAAGAAGCAATCATTATCCGCTTAGTGGCACTTTGCACGCGCGCCACTTTGGTTGGTTTCGGTTCAGCTCGTAAGACGCATACGCTCGATTGCTGCTTTGTTTTGGGATCGTAACTATAAATCCATGTTTCGTCACCTGTTACTATGTCCTACACTAAATTTGACGCCCCTTCGTTGAATCTGGTAAGCATGGCATTGCACCAAGAGACGCGATCCGTTTTTTGACCCTCCGTCAAATTGTGTGGGATCCACCGAGAAGAGCACAGCTTTTTCACACCCAAAATGTTTGTGTAGTATTGACTGTATTTGACTCATGCCTATGAATAAAGATGCCCGAATCTCATGGTATGTCACATGCCTGTCTGTTTTGATAATACGGCGCACAGCATCTATATTTTTGTTGTTCACAGCAGTGGACTCACTGAGATTCACACGACCGCGTTTCAATTCTGCAAACCAGCTACAAAATAGTCGTCTTGCATCGTGCTTCATCGTCATTAGCAGTTTGAAGGCGAGCAAAACTCCGCTGAGCTGTTAATTTACACTTACAGTCGTACAAAATCATACTACGAAAATTTTAAAGAGTTAAATCCATGGTGATGTAAACAACCAATTTCTAAAATGACGCCACAATGTAAAAACAAGTGACAGTCAGATGAAACAAACTGTATTCTACAGTCAAAAGAGTTGAATTTTCAAATGTTGTAATTACTTTTTAAATATTGTTTATGTAAGTGTCTAATCCCGGAAACTTATAGTGCGCCCTGTGTACTTTCGACAATAAAAAAATATTTACATTGTTGGACTCGGATTTTCATGTTTGATGTTCTGAGTAATAAATTACTTTTCTGTAATGTTGTGGTAGGTCACGTCCTTTAGTCTTATAAGGGGCGGTTTGTAATACTGTTTCAAATACTTACGTTAACAAAAAAGGGTATAATAAGCATAACGACAGCCAACTCAATTCGTTGATCAGATACTGGCGATAGTCTTAGGGTAGATAACACCGCTACCACCGGCGGCAATCGCAGAACTAGCGCTAGCATAGATTTGGCAAACGTTGCCAGCGCCGCGTATAACACACATTGGCATAGCCAAGCGGTGCACATTGGTGGTTTACCTGAAAGGGTAGTTACAGTCAGTGCAATAATAAAAAAATTATAATAAGTAAAACAGAAAGCTGTAGGATTACAAACATTAAATAATAGGGGTTAAAGTATGAAATTGCCGATTTGTACTGAAAATCTAAATTGTTTATTTTTTAAATTTTTAACAAATTTATTTAATCAAAATAGTTGCCATTATTATCTATACATTGCTGCCATCTAATGGGAAGGTTATTAATGCCTTTGCGATAGAACTCCGACGATCTAGACTGCACAAACTGTGTGAAAGCATTTTGTACTGCCTCCTGGGAAGAAAACTTCTTGTCACGTAGATAATTGTCCAAATCACGAAAAAAATGGTAGTCCGTTGGAGCAAGGTCTGGTGAATACGGAGGATGACGAATGGTTTCTAACTGCAGTTCCTGAAGGGTCAAAATGGTTTCTCGTGCTGTGTGAGGTCTCGCGTTGTCGTGGAGCAATAATGGTGAAGATCGATTCATGAGTCGGGGCTGTTTTACTGCTAGTTTTGTCATCATGGTTCGGAGTTCGGCACAATAGACATCTGCCGTTATTGCTTGACCAGATCGGAGAAAACTATAGTGAATAACACCATGCTGAGACCACCAAACAGTTACCATTACCTTTTTATTGGTAAGTTTTGCTTTAGGACACTGTTGTGGCATTTGACCTGGGGTCAGCCATTGCATTTTTCTTTTCCGGTTATCATAAAGAATCCACTTTTCATCACATGTTACAATTCGATCCAATATTCCTTCATTTCTGTACCGGTTCAACAAGGCAACACAAGTTTCAACACGCGTTTCTTTCTGCAGATCAGTCAAATCATGAGGCACCCATTTTCCGTATTTTTTTATTTTATTGATTTGACGCAAGTGAGTCAATATTGTGGGTAAGGTAACGTTAAACCATGCCGCTAATTCCTGGGTAGTTTGACTAGGATCGGCTTCCACTATCTCTCTTAATTCATCGTTATTCACCTGTGTGGGCGGTCTTCCTCGTGGCTCGTTCTTTAAGTCGAAATTTCCATCACGAAAGCGTTTAAACCAAAATCGCACGGTGCGTTCATTAGTAGATCCCTCTCCAAACGCAGCATTGATATTGCGGGCTGTTTCTGCCGCGTTAGTTCCGCGTCGGAACTCGTATTCAAAAATCACTCGAATTTTCGCAGTATCCATCTTTCTTGTCTAAATTGAATAACAAAAACAATTGAAAGTCGATATTCAAATGTTTCAAATTAAAAAAAAAAAAATCACAGAAACCATTTGAAAAAAGTTTCATTCGAAAACCTCAAACCATGAAGATTCTATGAAAATTCAAAGAACCTATTGCAATAAAACGGCAATTTCATACTTTAACCCCTAATATTATAAGTAAATTATACATATATGTATAGAGTGTTTTGAATATAATGGAATAAAATAAAATACATTAATGTTGCCCAAAACTGGTCTTCGTCTTGCAAAAGACTAAGATCAAGACTACCTACTTGTAGCGATACTAAGACCAACCCTGCAAGATTTGAGCAAGAACAAGACTGAGACTACGAAACTCTTGCATCTCGTAGTTTTTTTTAGATTTTTGTACTTTTTTCCATATGATATACATATATTTGATGTAGTAAACGACAGGTCAACCTAGCGATAAATGCCAAATTTATTCAAAGAGAGTTTACTCGAGGAGTCGTTAGTGTTGTAATGCACATTTTTACGCTGGCTATCTTTTTCTCCGTATCATGCAAATATATTTTTAAATTAAAGTTTAAAATAATCGTTATTAATCGTAATACTGTTTACGATATCGGTCATTATCAAATATTATATAATATTATAACCTGCCATTTACTATAATCGGCGGCGGTATTTTTGCTTAATTAGTTGTTAAGGTAATTGCAAAACTTGCGAGACTCTTGCAGCAAGACCAAGACTGAATCTGCAACACCAAGACCAGGTGTACTGATGCAAGACCACGACCCGTGTTAGTCTCGTGTTGGTCTTGCAGTTGGGCAACACTAAAATATAATCATTAATCATATATTTTCCATGTCACAATTTTACAATGTGTCAATGTGTATATAAATACAAATAATAATAATAATAATAATTTATTTTAAGCCTTTTACAAATGATGGCGTGTTATAACTAAATTAGTGCCAGTTTACTATGTTTGGCTTGTTAGTAATTGACTCAAGGTTATCTGTCCCCTGACTTTCAAGCTAGGTTAACCTGTGTTATGAAATAAAATTTCAAGGAATAAAAAAAATATATATTGAACATGGTAGTAAAACATTGTGATATTCAATAAACTTGATATTATGGTTATTAAAGCGACTCTCTAGTCAGCCACTAATAATTGTAAAAGTACCTGGTTGAGTGAAGAAAAACTTTCATAGATTTCTCACATCATTTTTTTGGCCAAAAAAGTCGGTTAAAAACCAAAACAAAAATTTGCAACAAGCACAGAAAAATTCGTAAGCTCTGCAGGATCGTTCCGATCATTCCGGCACGGAATGCTAAAGACGCTGCGCTGGGTCGAATCCAACCGGACGGAAGGAATTTTTCTTAGTGTTCGATCTTTGTATTAACAATTATAAAAACCATTTACAAATTGTCACCGCTATTCTTATAACAAATACTATAGTGTCGCGCAGAGATGGTCAGTGGGTTAAAACGCAATCAACCCACTCAGGTTTTAACCGGATTTGTACCAAAAGTTGCTGGTTTTAACCCATTTCTGCCCATTATCGTGGGCAGAATCAGCGAAATTAATATGTCGATGTTTTGTATTAACGTTAAATTTGAACGGAACTCAATTTAAAAAAAGTATTTTTGTATGGTTTTTAACCCGATTATATTGATGGGTTTTAACCCGATTTGTACACGGTGTTAACAAAGTGAAAAAAAAGTAAAACTAAAACTCGTGCGCTTGCTCGTCTCTAATTACAAATTGTCACTGCTATTTTTATGACAAAGATTATAGTGTCGCATCACTAGTGACCACATGCGTGAAGTTGCAGTCAATTGCGAATCTTTTTAACTTATTTGTTCATTCATTTCATTGCTCGAAGTTTAGTGCTACAGCGCTAGTAATTGTTAAAAAATTCTTTTTACTAAAAAGTTATTTCTTCATTATTGAAGTGATTTTATAAATATTTTCTTCGAAAGAAATTCCTCTAGAAAGTTTTGTTCCTCCGTAAGCTAGAAATATATTCATTAAAAATGTATAGTAGAACCCAAAACATAAATTTTCAATTATAGTTTACTTTTTAACAACCATCACTACGACTTGTTCACAAATTTCGAAATAATTCATTTGTGTGCAACCTCAGTTTATACTTTCTAAATGTGAACTTCTTTACTTACCATATTCACCAAAGTTGATGAGTGGTATGTCATAAGTGCGGGCACAGTTCTGAGCCCATCGTATTCCAGCCCATATGATCAACAGTCCCAAAGTGGAATCCAACATGAAGTTTACTATGTACCTGGAAACAATGGGAATCATCACAATCATCAACTCATGTATACATCCCACTGCTGAGCACGTGTCTCCTCTCAGGCGAGGTTATGGAAATAAATGTTGCTAATCGTAAACAAGACCATAATTTCCAACTTTGTTAAAGGTACTGATCCTTAACACGTCATCAAAGACTATGCGACTTAGGAGTGGACGGCGAATTACTAACAAGTATGCGAAATGGCTTCCAGTCCCATGGAATCAAAATTTAATAGTTATGAATAAATGGGAATGGAAGATATGAGCCAGTGCTCTTTAGCAACGTCTACTAACCCCCTGGACACTGTCAAGAATCTTGCTACGTATTATATAAAGTGTCGTCATGTGTCCCATGCCAAGGATGTGTAGTTGCGGGGACCGAGTTGCTAATGTTGCCACTTCACTTTGACTACTTAATTCCATATAATAGAATGTTTAATTTTATTTTTATTTCATCTCTGGAAGAAACAAATGATGGTGGTAGTCCACTCTATGACGTGAAAACAAATCAGGAGATAACTAGAAAGCCCTCGGTAGGTGTTAAAAAAGCTACGAGGACCTTGTATAGGCCACTCTACCACAATAATGAAGGCTAAAAATTATATTTGTTATATACCTATGTACTATATAAAAGTACTTTAGCAGCAGAGAACAAAAAAGTAACGAGAATGGACACTCTCCGCCCCTCCCTAGCTTTAGATACCGCACCAGAGTCGTTTTCAGATAACCTCCAAAAATGTCTTCCTTTCAATAACTTTTATGTTATTACATGAATGCTAAGCATTATTTATTTAATATGATTGCTTGCTTACTTAGTCTGTGTTACACATAAAAAGACTACTTTACTACGTCACAGTAATAAATAAAAATTAAAAAAGTGGGCAATTTCTCATTCATGGGAGCCGGTTCCACGTCGCCCTAACTTTAAGAAAAAAAATTAAACACTCGTGGAAATCGCAATATTTTCCATCGAGGATAAACTCTAATAACTTAAACGTCGAATACATACCGCAACTTGCCAATTAATTATAAACAAACATGTTTTCTTGGGAATACAAAATGTGTTTCAGTTTTTCTTATCATTAGTGTCAATTCAACTAAAAGCCTCCTAATAACAAAAGTTCATACCGCATCACCTTCACCGTTCGCAGAAGTGAGAAAGGGTTCCTGTCGAATTGGACTGTGCACAGTGAAGTAACCTGTGCATCTCCGTTTTAGCCAAAAATCAACGTAAATACATTATATTATTGTCGATCTCATTCTTGTCTACTTTTAAGTCAAATAGTTACTTTAAGTCAAATATTTACTTGAAATATAACAATTAGCTGGTGATAGTGGTGGTGATGACGGTTGTGATGATGATGATTGTAGTGATGATGACGATGATTGTGATGATGATGTGAATGGTAATGATGCTGATGATAATGGTGATCATGATGATGGTGTTGATGGTGGTGATGATGTGTTTTTGGGATGTGACATTGTTAATGTCACATAAACAAAGTTTATGTGACATTAACAATATCACATTTATTTATTATATATATATATATATGTGAGATTTATTTCTTAATTACATATATGTAGGTAGATAGATGTACTTACACGGATGAGAAGGGTTTTGATAGAAGTTATATTAAAATATTTGTTACATGCTAAATGTCCTTTTGTGAACCATAAAATGTATGTAATAATAATTTCTCATTACTGTGCCGTCTTTCTCATTTATGTTTATGAGAAAATCATTCGTGTCATTGCAATCTCATTCGTGTGACCTAAAATATCGTTTTTTTTTTGTATTTAACTTAAATATCTGTGATTTTATAATTATTGACATTGCTTGAACTTATTTGTACGTTTAAAACCTTAAAACCAAAAGAAAAAAGGGTTTTACAAAAATCACTCAAAAAGTGCCATTGAAATTCGGGAAATGAAATTCACCCAACACGCCTGGACATTGACGGTCACATTGACTGAACGACAACGAGCCGTTTTCGCGATAAGACGGGTTTGATATTTGAATACAGTTTTCATTAATATGTAACATCATTGTACGTTACTATTTATAATGGTCGTGAATTATGCTGTGTACGGCAGTTTATTATAATCTAAACGAGATACAGTTCTCTCTTTATCCCGTTTCTTTTGTTTTCCGAAAAATGAAACGAAGTAATTAAAACAAAGCTAATGTCTGTCTGTTATTAAACAATAACATAATATCGAGTTCTTAGGTTTTCGCGATTGTTACACATAGGAAATGAAACTATTTATTCGGATTTAAATCGCGTATACAGGGTGTCCCGGGACGCGACGTCAAGC